AAAAAATGGGTTGAAATAAGGAATTATACATTTCTAGTTAGTAAGTACATTTCTAACCTTCTATATAGATTCGTAAGTTCACGGTGGCACAAATTCAATGCGAAAGATGTGATCTAATTAAGGTCGCTAGAAGAAAAATGCGGCTTTTCGACGAAAAACTCTAAATTGAGACATTAGTTCTGCTCGAAGGAGAGTTTGACCAAAACGGCTGTTTTTCCCACTTTTGAGGAAAGGAGATGTGACCAAGAATGAAAAACTTTCATTTTGCGATAAGGAATACTATTTCCTACTCATTTTTGAGGGGAAAAAAGACATAACGTTCGCCATTAGTTTCTTTTTGCAGGTGAGTGCAATTATGGACGAGTAAAAGTCGAAATAGACGACTTCTTATTGCAAAATGAGGATCAAATCTGCAACGCTACAAATTGAGATGCTTGATTGACCTTTGCTTTCAAATTTCTTTTAATGTTCCGGTTTTTTGTGGTAATTCAATAGGTCAGCACCATAAATATTTTTCAACCTTGTTCGCGTTCAGAAGAATGAATTTTCTTACGGATGGAAATGCTCTACAGGAAGCAGTTAACACAGACACGGCAAAGAGTGTAAGTTGAGACACATTTTAGCGTATCATTTTGATTCATATAATACTTCCACTTTAGGTTAAGAATTTTAATTAGGAGAGTGTTAATTAACCCCGAGTACAACAAAGAAGACAAACAGACAAAGACAAGTTTGTTGGTATACAAAGAAAATGGTAACTTTGTATGAGGAATCATTCCTGTAAATGTATTCGATGTTTACTTAATTACGTTCATTGCATTCGTTTGCTTCGCCTAACGTTGGAAATGAAGACCGTAAGACCGTCTTAATTTAAAATCCAGCATAAATTACCGAGAAGATTTGGCTTTCTTTCTTTGGGTGGATGCATTTATTTCCTTGGAACATAGGCTGCAATACATTGCGAATATAAGATCAAATTAGAGTTGCGCATGTTGCATAACTACTATTTAAAGGGGCCCCTTGCACTGGACGTTTAAGTATTATCTAAGGCCAACTTTATGAACCTTCTCCTCTTTCAAACGCACCCGTTAGACAACCTCTTACCTCATTTTCTTGAATTACATAACACTACACTGGTTTGAGCCGCTTCCCCCTCATTTCCCTCAATTTTTCAGAAAATATCGGAGAAAGCCTGTAGAAAAGCTGGAAAAATCATTTCCGTCGCAAAATACTATCTTATATCCTTATCTACTTACTTTTAAAGCAGGGGCGGGGAGGCGACCGCCTCCTAACAATTTGCCGCGGAGGTCCTGAAGGGGCCCCCGCGGCGATTTTTCTCGAGTCATCGTTTTTCCCCGTAATGTTGTAATTTTCCAATATTTTTCAGTCACTACAAGGCCCCAAAATCTTTGAAAATTTGCCTCTAAGAAACATAAAAGGTCTCCGAAAGCCCATAATACAGAATATAAGGGGAAATCTAGTGGGCTCCTGGGGCCCCGGAAGTGATAGGGGCCCCTGAAGAATCCTGAGAATTGATTATTTTGAAGTCCAAATACTACTAGTACGGAACTATGTGCATCAAGACATGAGCCCTGAGACCCATACGAATATATGCATAAGAGGGTTCACGTCATAATGCACATAGTTCCGTTTGACAGAAATACGTCCAATTCATCCTTAACGTAAATATGCTCGTCTCATCAGGGCCGAATGTCGGTCGTGTTGTTTATTGTTAGTTCCAACCATTTCAATCTCTTTCCCAGGATGATTTTGCATCTGGAAAGAGGGTACCGGATGGTGACAATGACGATACTCGATTCGAAAGAAACCACGAACCAGAAACTTCAGCTCCTACCAACGTAACTCCTAATTGTGCCTCAACTCCATCCACATTGAAAGAGCATATCGCGAATCTACAAAGTTGCTTTTCAATCAGCTCAATGGAACCAGTTACAGGCGCTTGTCCTGATACGGTGGATAACTTTTCCATAGCATCGATGAAAGATGAATCCGACTACTTCGGTTCATACGTTGCCGGAAAGTTGAGGAATTTTGATCGGCGCGTGAGAGCTGAGCTTGAGCATCAGATCACTCAAGTTCTCTTACGTGTGGAGACTGGAGATGGATCGCTGCGAATCGCAAGTTTCCTCAGAGTATTCCTGGTTAAGCTCTGACTCCTTCAGCATTCTTCCTCCCAGCAGCAGCAGCACCACACCTTACAAAAATATACCCCCCCGCTCGTTTCATCGCAGAACTTTAGCCTATAATGAAAGCTGTCAGCCACATTCTCGTTCGGAACTTTTACCGATGTCCGACTCCGTTCACGAGACTACTTCATGGATGATGAACGCTTCTACGTAAGCATGAATTCATGCGAACAGGAACCAACTCTTTTGCAATTCAATAGTATTTTCTTAATATTTCAGGGGGGAAAATCTGAGACTACATGTTTTTAAAATGCAAGAGAATTGTCTCTACAATATGAGAAATAAGTGAAAAGAGTTCCAAGCTATCATTGAGAGGATTGGAGGAAAAGGCGCATATGATACAATTGCAGTGTTTGATATTTCAAGAAAATATTTGTTCAAAATTCCATAGAGCCTAGGATGGAGAGAAAGTTCAAATTTACGATTTGATGAATAAAAGTTGGATTTTAGTGGTAAGATTCTCACAGAATATATGTAATTTAAGACTTGTTTTAGTTGAGAGCATTAAGATCTTTTTTTTTTCGCCTTTTCCTCTCATCCCCTCAATTATGGTTACATTTCTCCTGCAAAGAATTCAAAAAGAGAGGGGAATACATGTATCATTGCAATTCAGTTTTATCACTTTTGTTTTCAAACTTCTACAGTTACAACACATTTTGATGCTTTTTGATTTCAACATGAAAATATTTTTTTTTCTTTATTACTTTGATGTATTTGTACAATCCTTATTACAGAGAGGTTATGGATTTCATCGACATGATCGGAAAATGATACGCGTGAATCGATCGACACGGGCTTTTGATAATTTGTCGATCGATTCTCTTTGTCATTTTTCGATCGATTCATGTCGATCTTTCGATTGACATGAATCGATCGAACCCCCGTTGGACGTGTCCAAATCTAAATTAAAAATTAAGAAATGAGTGTTTTCCACAAATATAATTTTAGCTTGTTTTAAATATGAAGAATATTGTTTTAGTTGTGTTTGAAGTGTATTAGTGTTTTCCATGCTAACATAAGTCGATGGAAACCTTCATGGGTGAACACTGAACTTGACGGTTTTGTTAGAATGCTCTCAGTGAGTGATATCACTTTTATCGTGAGACGTGTACCAGAAATTCACTGCCAAGGGATTTCCAAGTTCGTTATCCGTGGCAAACATGTTGGTGGAATAGCAGATCCGTCCGTAATCTGATCTGTAGCAAATATATCGGTCTTATTAGAATTATTAACTATCAACTAATTTTAACTTGGGAAAATAATCGAGAGAAATAATTCGAATAGTTATCTTATAAAACCTTTCACCTATCGTGTGAAATAGAATTGAATATCATGATGTGTGATGATAATATAATAATTTAGAATATAAGTCTTTCTAAATATTTAGATTTTGAGGTAGAAATGCGTGCATCTTTGCCTTTTTTAGTAAACGAACGCGAGTTTTTGCATTATTTTGATGAATTTCTGCTTCATTCACTCCAATTTCTCATCTGTGCATACGAAGTTTTATATTTGTAACAATCAGAATATGGCAACGCAATGGCATTTTGGATTTCTAAAATTTCATCTGATGATCACGACAAGAATCATGACATTAGAATTTTTCGAGAATTTTGCATCCAAAACCGCCTAAAAAGTATCCACGCTTGTGACATTCGCAAAATTTACAAACGATCAATCATGATTTTCGCCATCAACTCTTTCTGAACTCTATAGCTTTATCTTAAAAAATGGTACTCTTACTTGTTATCCAAGTGATCGTCGTCGAATTTGATTGGTCCAGGCTGGCGATATGCTGTTATGACATATCTGTGATTTCCTGAAAAACAAAATAACGAAATATGAATATTCTTGTAACCTGAGATTGTCGCTGCTTTCTGAGAGTAGGACCGCACAAAGTAAATCGTGGCCGTCGGCGGTAAAAGGGACTCAGTTCACAAAAACTGAAAATTAAGTTTACGGTACAAATCATAAAGAAGTGTTTTACGAATAATTTCGGACTATAATATGATCTCTTATGGCAGTATCAGCTTTATACTCAACGCTGAGACCCAATTCCTGAACTTTCCTCCAAATTGACTGGTTAAAATGAAAGTTACACCCGTGCAATTTTGCGTCAGGATATAAATTTGACAATACGGATATGACAGCACTCTTAAAATCTAAACAGAAACTCTCTAGCTTCCACGTTGGAAATGCTTCGCATTAAAAAACTGTTGCCAAACTTTCCACACTCGGAATAATAAATCGGAAACCGGTCGAACCCCCACGCAAAATCCGACCGGCCGAATATCCACGCGACCGTTCTTTCTGCGTCAACATACATCATTTAGCAAAGGAGGCAACCATATGACTCGCTTATCTACGCTGCTAGTCTGTTAATTACAGCCTCAGTGGTGTAGTGGTCAAGGCAGTTCGCTGCCAACACTGAGGTCCCGGGTTCAATCCCCGGAGGTGACTGATATTTGAGGACACTCAAATATCAGTCATCGTGACTGTGGATGACTATGCCACTCCAATACCCTGACCCTTCGAGGTTACAGGGTGCGGGAGGGACATAGTCACCCAGTAAGTAATCCGTCTGCACTGTTCGACTGGGTTGTGAAAAATCGGTAATCACTCGTAGTGTACGCGACTGCCAGCGCTACCTATCAGTGTAGATTGCATCAACACAGTCCAACTCGGTGGAGGCATGGCCGTGCTCCGAAAGTCCGTGCTCTGCAGCGTCTGCCACAGTCTTTGATAAGACCTTCCGTTGGCTATCAGACGGCCGCTGAGCCTTGCGGAAATATAGCTGATACTCAATGTGTCAATAGTATGAAGATACTTTAAGGAGTACGGTCCAACTTCGGGGTGCACGACGGCAGTTGCCAGTTGCCTTGGCCCCTTGAGGGCGCCTCGCCGGCCAGCCCGGCCTTACTTACTTACTTACTTACTTACTTACTTACTTAGTCTGTTAATTAGGTTTTGAAAGGATGCAACTATTCAGCCTCTGAGACCACGCTAGGAGGTCTCTTTTCTCGTTGAAGGCGTTTTCCATGCGTTGAGGTTTCCTCCAAGGAAGTAAATTAGGACCGCATTGTATCAGTACTGTGTGCGCAATAACGCAGAGTCACATACAATATAAGCGATCACAAAACGGAGGACCGCATCTTGAAAAATATAATATAGCAGGAAGTCTGCGGCATTGCAAACCGAGATACGCGTTTTTGCAGTAACTACAATGTGGTTTTACCATCGGTAAGTCCTGTCATTTGATTGTCCGTAACGGTATGCAATAGGTCAAGGCGGATAAAGAATGGTGGTCGCATTTCGTACCCTCTGGACGTCACACGGTATCGGGTACATGGGCCGGCCGAGGCCGGGGGAGTCGGCTCAACTTCGAATTGCATGGCAAAAGCCGTACCCTCCTGACGTCACAGTGCTTCAAGATGGCAGCCAAAATCGAAATGCGACCACCATTCTTTATCCGCCTTGGCAATAGGTGACGCGGGTTTTCCGAATAGCCTAGGGACATACGCACAGTAATATCTGCAAAATATTTTACCCTCAAGAGATTTCGATATCAATATTTGCGAAAATTCTAAAGTAACGTCTATGATATAAAATCTGCGCGGAAATTTTGTAAGTATCCGGCCAAAACATAATATTACAAAATTGGAACCCCTTGAGATCTGCTTTGCAGAAATGACGTATGCGCCTTGCTGTATCAGAACAACTTCAAAAATGAAATGAGTGATCGAATAAACCAGAACAATGTTTTGTAACTAATTTAATTGCTAATTAAACAATTTGCTAATAAGCAAAAAAGGAATTTGCTAACAGAAATAAAATAAGTTGCAAGTCACATAGCTTCGGTTCCTTCAATCTTCCATTACAATATTTTGGTGATGTTCAATATCAATTCACTAAGTTTGAGTATGAATTATAGCAAACCAAGTACCATCTCATGCTCGTAATATTGAGTGGAAAATTGTAGATTATGGGGTGAAAATTCCAGTGAGACCTTTTCATCATTGTACGTCACAAATTAAGCGCAATGTTGCAGAAGTGGGCCTATTGGAAACTTCTGCTAGAGGAAAAATAAGAGTTGTTCCTCATAGAAAATGGCTCAAAAATCACGGTAAGCGCATCAACAAAGTCTGAAATGCACTCCTAACTTCACAATCTGCGTAACAAATTCACGTTTGTTCGAGCTTCCCGCTGCAAAAACGGTACTACGGCATAGGTGAACATTTTGTTAGAAGAGTCGTTCTGTTCAACCCTTGCGTACTACGACGATATCAAGACGGATCTTTATGAGCGCTAGGAAAACGTGAATGTAAACTTGTAAACACGCTAGGTTGTTAAAAAATGGCTAGAATTTTATCCCGGCACATGAGTTTTGGCGGATTGGTGCCGGCCATGTTGAATTTTGTGCAGTATCCCACTGCACAGAGGTTGGAAGGAACGCCTCCTCTAACGAAATGTTCACCTGTGCCGTAGTATCGTTTTTAAAGCGGTAAGCTAAAAAAAACGTGAATTTCTCACGAGTATTTTGAAGTTAGGTATTTTAGACTTTGTTGATGCGCTTACCGTAATTTTTGAGCCATTTTGTAAGGAGCAACTCTTATTTTTGCTCCAGGTAAACTTTGCAACAGGCCCACTGAGCAGCATTGCAAAGATCGTAGTCGTTTTCACATAGATTTGTTGAGCAGTTGAGCACTCAATAGGCTTGACAACGAAGCAATTACACCTTCTCGTTCCAAAAGGAAGATATGATATATTATACATACCAGTGAAATTTTTACTTCCTGGCCCAATATAATCACTTGCCGTTTCTTCTGCCGGAGCAATGTATTCACTTAATGTTTCTCCGGCCGGAAGGTTACCTCCAGGAATATTCACAATCAGCCAGTTCTGCCACTCCCTTAAAAATGGCATATTGGGAGTTGGTGCGTCTAAGTCTAAAATAATTATAGATGATTAGTAAGTACTTTTTCAATTAAAATGTCACAATATAATACCATAATGTAAACCATGCAGGGTCTTTCTGAAGAAAGGCAATTTTACAGAATGATCATGAAAATGGCCCAAAACATCGGCAACTATGTGAAGCAGATCATGGTTGTGAAGGATTGAAGGGTACAAGGAAAAGCGCCTTCATCTTATCAGAAGCAACACGCGCATCTCCTAAGGACGAATAGTCGCATCCGGGCGCCGTGGTTAACATCGCGTTTTTAGCGTTTAAACTGCATGTGGAAACCGAACTCAAGAATGTAAAACCTCTCATGTCATGCTTCAATTTTCTGAGTTTTTACCTTTGCAATTTCCATTCAATTCTGTGTACCTTTTATGTTCAAAAGACCCATTCAACTTATTTATGCTAATAGGACCTGAGTAATGAATGAAATGAAGGCATACTATGTATGAACTGTGTTTGATTTATAGTCCCTTTTTTAAATTGCGCATAGTTCCATGCAACACGAATGCTACCTAACTACATTCCTTACCGGTTAACTTCCTTTGATGTTTTATTTTTTTCTTCAGAAAACCTCGACCGACGAAATCGAGTTGGATCTGAAATTTTACGTGGATTCTTGCAGATGATTCAGAATATAATCACAACGTTTTTAAAATTTGCCCCTCCTTTACACTGAAGAGACATTTCTTTAAAACACAGTGATAATGTGTCTGGGCTCCGGGAAAATGCTACGAAAAGAATAAAAGAACAGATGAGGAAGCGCTCCAATTTAGAAATGTGTTTCGTGGTTTAACTGTCCATACATTTTGAGTGGATGGAAAGCAACGGTGCGTTTCCTAATTCCTCCTTTTCCAATTCAATAACTACCAAAAAGCGTTCAAATTAGACTCCTTTAAAGACTTGAAGAGATGAGAAAGAATACATTTTGTCTCTGAAAAATAACAGCATTAGCTTCGAATGTGATTGACCACATGATTTCCAAAACCCTCCAAAAGTAATAGAGAGGGTATTTTTAAAGTTATACAAATCAAAATTTCAATCCTTTCTAATTTCACGAAAGATACGCATTTTTTTTCCGTTTATTTTTACACTACCTGACATCACGATGGCGTAATAAGAGTCGTTTTGATAAGGGTAGACGATCTGGGGAAGTTCTTTAGTATCCTCTCGAGAGAGTTCATTTCCCATCATTGCAAACTTCCCACTCTTGAAGTTGGTCTGCATCAAAATGGTAAACATTTTAAAATTATTATAATGGGCCACCAAAAAATTCTTAGCTAGAGAGTCACATGTTTCCATTGCAAAAAATTTTACGCCAAAAACGACTGCCATAGTGAAAACTTCAGAAATCATCCCCTGAACGAAGACATCACAGAAGTAGGTTTCTTGAGGAGCACTTTATAACATACACGGCAATTGTTTACGCGAATAAAAAATGTCTCCGAGCCAAACGAAGCGAAAGGGTTCACGCGGAAATTATGTACGCACTCCGTAATCATGCATCAATCTCCGTCATCATGGTCTAATCTTGTCTGTGTTGTTTATATAGATAGACATAACGTCGTTTCCTTCACAAACGAACGTAATTACATTTTAATTTTGCCTAATTTTCCCTTCAAATTTTATCGCACTAGGCGATCCTTGGGTATTTCTAACTATAGCTCACTTGTTTTTCTTCTGATTTCATGCTAGAGTCAGACAAAATTTGGACCAAAATTGAATTTGTAAATTCTAGTGAAAAATTTATTTGTTTGGGTTAAATTTTCAACCTAGGAATAGAGTTACGTTCCTTCGTACGGGAAATTCGTATTTTCATTCGTATTTCGTATTTCTATCAAACGGAACTATGTGCATTAAGACATGAGCCGTGAGACTCATGAGAATATGTGCATAACAGGGCTCACGTCATAATGCACAGTGTTCCGTTTGATAGAAATTCGTCTAATTGACTTTCTTCCCCCTCCCATTGCATTACCAAGGATAGTACTATAGAGATGAGATGTCCTGCACTGAGAAAAAACTATGGCTTATAAACCTATTAGAGGTAAATATGGAACACCACTAATAGTAGTACCTCTACATATAATAATAGCACATATACCTTAGTTATGGTCTCTGTACCTTAATTAGGTACAGAGACCTTAGTATGGTTCACAGACCGAGAATCATTAGTTTATTTACGACTATTATAGGTGTTCCATATTTACCACTAATAGGTTTATAAACCATAGCTTTTTCTCAGTGTGCCCTGACAACAGCGTAATCAAGATATTTATGTATCCTAAAAAATTGGCTCACCTTAAGTATGTGGGATATAGGTACTTTATGGATATCGGGAAGTATCCTATGTTCCTCCATCGCCGCCCTTATGGTTTTATGATCTGGCTCATAATTTTCAGGTAAAGACTCGGATTTGGTGTTTACTCTCGTAATTAGCAGTAGTACAATAGCGCTGAGGATCGGAAAATGAGAACATTTTTGAGCTAACATAATTTTAGCATTTTTATTTTTAGCACTATCGAGATAGTTCAGTTTTACTCAACACCATTTTGGAATCTCGATTAGAGATTTCTCAATTACTGGCTTGTAGTGAACTTGAACCAAAACAAAACGAGCCACGCACATAAAGGAGGTATACTATGAGAACATCGGCGTGAAGACATGACTAAAATACTGATAACTCCGTCCTGAATGTGATGGCTCTTACTGTGATGTAACGTCTGTATTGTAAAGCTTAGATCTTTCGATTAAAACAAAATGTATACAGCATGGAGCGCGTGACTTAATTTATAAACCAAGATTTGAGTCAAAACTTTGTACACGCTCGAAGATGTAATCTATCCTAATTGGACGTATTTCTACCAGACGGAACTATGTGCATTAAGACACGAGACATGAGACCCATGAGAATATATGCATAACTGGGTTCACGTCATAATGCACATAGTTCCGTTTGACAGAAATGCATCCAATTGGATTTAAAACTATTTGTATTATAATCATACTCGATTAAGGGACTTGATCCTGTAATTTTTTTAACAAATATAGAAAAAAGTAGGTCTTACTCTAGCCCTTCGATACCTAAAAAATTCCCCCATTATTTTTGAGAATTCACTCGTAGTAACTGAAAAAATTGGCCTTAGACGAGGGCTGAATCAGAAAAAAAAGTCACGTGTTTTTTTCTTCACAATCTTACGTAGAAACTGACTCACTCAATAGAAATTTTGGAAATCAACTCTTCTGAACGAGAAATTAACTTAACTTTTAACACAGATCAAATGGAAGTTAGATTATACGTCATATGGGCACGGATCTACCTCGAAATTTGCTAAACCTGCTAAATTGCTTTCTTATTTTTTTGTAATTTCCATGACGAATAATTGGTTTAATTCCTTACACAGATTTACTGTTACGTTTTTTTGATGCTACATAAGGCCCTCTGAATTTTTGTTTCATCCCAAAGTAAACCACATACGACATCTTAAGTCTAATGGAGAATTTGTAGGTGCCTGACATTTTATATATTTTGTGGTTAAGTGGAAACCACTGGCAACGAGTGAACTGAACACGAGGATACTCGCGATTCATAAATTGAACAATAATTGGAAGAGATACGACTAAATAACCTGATTTGCCGAAAAAAACAAACAAAAAAACATGCGTCTAAATGGGTATGCCGTCAGATGACGTCTTTTGGCGTTGCATTATTCCAATTTTAAATTCATTTTTATACTATATCCCTTATCAGAAAGAATTAATAAAGAATGCTGCAAAATCACTTCTTCCAGATGAAGCAATATAAAATTTGTGTGCGAATTCTCCATCACAATTTCAAAAGTGAATGATATGTAATGCGCTTGCTTAGTCGAACCCCTCGAATTTCTGTTGAAGGCCAAGTAGATTTCTGTGGAGCCCTACCGCACATAGTTTCACCTACAAGCAGGAGCTAGTGGAAAATATACCCTAATTTACTTTTACCCATACTTAATTTTCTGGAAAGTAACGAACGAAGCAAAGTCAATTTTCGTGATATTTATTTTATTTCATAAGAATGATGGCTGAATTCATTCAAAGTGTAGCCGGCTTTTTCGTTCGCAAGCGTCTTTTTCTCGGTGCTTCAACATCCCATGGACTTTTCGTCGTGATGCTGGGATCTTGCCATTCACTCTTGAAGAAGTTCACTGCATGAGCCTCCTTGAAACCATACTTCTTCATGAACGCCTTCGTCGACCAGTTTTTTCGCTCTGCTATTGACCTGATAATAAAAGAAAAATTGTGTTGGTGTAGGTACCGTCAGAACCACACTTGTGAGTTAGCGAAGAATTAGTTACTTCTGTTTCATTCAACCTATTTTGGGGGTTTCTCACCTCAAATTCGAGTACAATTCTCCTGTATACTTAAGTATCGACAATCCAATTTTAAATATTTGTAAGTTATGGTCTCTATACGCGCAGAGGATTACGCATAAGTTGATACATTTTCTATGTATAAGTTGGTACAATTTTCCTCGAAATTCAGGGAAAAAAGCGCTCTCGTAAATGATTCAAACATGTTCAATGCTCGTTTTGATAATTATGTACCGGGTGATCCAAACAACCCGTCCTATATCCGGCGAACCACTGAAAATCGAGTTTTGAGGCCCAGGCCCGCCACAACGGTGAGGATACTGGGTCCATGGTACCGGGGCCCGGGTTATAAAAATGAAATAATATCTACTTGACAATTTATTTCTGTCACTTACGTGTTTTTGAGATGTGGCTCATCGAATGTCATCTTATCATGAGCCTGTTGTAAAACGACGTAGACATACCGATGCACGCCTGTCAAGAAATGTAATGAAGTACGGATTAATTACACTGGTAATTTTTGCAAAAAGTCCTGTTGATTTATAAAAATGAAACATATCTAAAAATGTTAAAAACAAATGAAACATTAATATTGAAAAATTTGAAAAAAAAAAACATTCTAAAAAATACTGAAAAATACGAAAAAATATCGGGTTAAGGCAAAAGTATTATTAGGTAACGCATAACATCTTTTGAAAAAATATGAATAAGGAATGGTAACATTTTAAAAAGAAACTTTTTAAAATGTTAAAGTCCTTAACTTTAACTTCTAAACCGAAACTTGGGAATCAAATTTTATCTGTTCTTTTTAGTGTCTCGTTTTTTCTTTCTTTTTTTTCTCAATTTTCATAGACGTAAATTGAGATGTTGCATGTGCAAGGAATTTGCGATTTGACTATTGATTCTTATGTAAAAGTTCGCAAGAAACACGACGGCGCCACTGGTTTTCTCTGAAATCAACTCCCAAGCTCAAAAAAAGCTCTCAAGTTGAAGCCAAAATGAAGGGGATATCCTACGCTATCCTGAGAGTCCACGTCTACATTAAGACAAACTCTCCATGCAAAGATAGGAGAGCAAATACATTGACAGGGTTGCCACTTTTTTTAAGAAATCTAAAACTGAAAAAACTAGACGTGGACTCTCAGGATAGCGTTGGATATCCCCTCGATTTTGGCCTCAACTTGAGAGCTTTTTTTGAGCTTGGAAGTTGATTTCAGAGAAAACCAGTTTCACCATCGTATTTCTCGCGAACTTTTACATAAGAATCAACAATCAAATCGCAAATTCCTCACACATGCAACACCTCCTTTACAGAACTAGCACAATTTTCTTGTGAAATAATTTCACCCAAGCAAGTCTACAAATCTTATACTCATGAAAAAGTAGCTCGAATTTTAATATATTTTTTATCTCACTCACCAGTGTCTTTTTTTGGAGTCGGTGGAATATATTCCACTCTTTCGTCGCCGCAAATAACAGCATCGATGGGAATATTCACGATCAACCAGTGTAGAAATTCCCGGTCCGTGGGTGCGTCCCGCGATGGCTCGTCTGGCCCTGAAAATAGGTCCAGTTCATTGCAATCTTCCAGGGATTTTTGACGGTTAAAGTCATTCTTTGTATCATTTTCTCGGAAGGAAATTTGTTGAAAACTGTTTAACCGATAAATTTTCAAAAAATGATCTCGACCCGGAGATTTTAGGAAAGTAATAAGAAATCGACCGCCGACTTTATCAAGTTTTTCAAATAATTCTATGGCATGCTGAATTGATGACCTTGGATTTCTCATTTTTGTCAATTCGTGCTGCTGCTATCGACACTTTCTAAGAGTGGTTTCACGATAACTGAAATAGTTTTGTCGCTGTAACAGACAGCACATTTTTCGGTCATATTTTTACTAGAAATGATAATCTCTTTAATTTTTGAGCATTAATCTTCCAAGGGTTACGTACTACAACGCTTTCTAATGAGTTATTGCTCTACTTCTCGATTAATATTATGTAAATTCCGAAAATATGCTGTCTGTCAGGCGGTAAAAAATCAGCGTAACAGACAGCACATTTTCGGCCAGTTATGTATTAAAATTGAAAAATAGAGCGATAAATCTTTGAAAAGCGTTATAACACGTAACCCTGTGTAGATTATTGCGCAAAAATTCGAGTGATTATCATTCCACTAAAAATGTGACCGAAAAATGTGTTGTCCGTTACGGCGACAAAACAATTCCAGTCATCATGAAACCACCCCTAATCAGATGACTTCTAATAGTTTTTTCTTCGGATGGTTTACTCAATGGAAGTACAAATGATTTTGTGTAATATGAATTCATAAGAGTAACGCACAACGCTTAAGGCGCGAAGCGTCTTCGGGCTTTGGACTGCAAAGAGGTCAGGAGGCGCACAGTGTGCACCCTTTTAATACCTTTAAAAGTATTTTTTTTCCCGGTAACTTCGTGTCAACGTAACGAATGATGTGTTCGAAGCAAATTCGCTTACCAACTAACATGAACGTGAAATACTGCTCTCGATAGCAAACCAATCAATGGCAAAAGTGCGCCAATAAACCTCCTCGGGCTTCAACATATTCCCGAAATTTATGAAGCAGTGTTGATTGTACTCAATCTGAAATGGTACAATTAAAAGAGCCATTTAATCATATACATTTTTGTTAAAAAATCGTCACACTGGAAAAAAAAAACTTATTGGATCTTGAGTCCGAACTTTTGAAAACATTGACAAGAAAAAATACTCTTGATTTAATCGGATTTTTGCTTGAATTAGAACGAAATCCGCTTAAATTAAGAGGCTCGGTTCTTGATTAGAGCTAGATTCTGATTGAATCAGGAGTATTTTTTCTTGTCGATGTTTTTAAGAGTCTGGGCTCAAGATCCAATGTGTTTTTTTTTTCCACTGCACCATGCGTAGATTTTTGACTCTAAATCGAAAAATCAGTGCTTAATGACCATTGTAACGTTAGATAGACAGTCCTGGACTCCTCTCCTTGTGACACGGAGTCAGACCTTCTTCTCTTCCCCTAAAGCGTTACGCCTATTGGACGTATCTCTGTAAAACGGAACTATGTGCATTAAGACATGAGCCCTGAGACCCATAAGAATATATGTGTAACGGGGCTCACGTCATAATGCACATAGTTTCGTTCGACAGAAATTCGTCCATTATGAGAGGCCCCTCGGTTTTGACACCAAACGCCGAAATTTGTCAAATCAAACCGGATAGTTTTGAAGTTAGCAGCTCAAAAAGCGTAAAGTGATCAGGAACTAATATTTGCAGAATCCAGGGCACGATTTATTCGGATTTTGATGCATTTACGCCCTCTATCGGTATAAACACGAGCCAACACGTTTAGGTCCAAGCTCTGTCTTCAGCTTTATTTTTTGGACAGAGTTTGCATCAAAACCTCTCCTCCGATTCGAAAAAATCATCTCGCTGAAAATTTTACTTCTACAGATCATGGTCCGCTCTCTTGTGGGTGCTCACATATTACCGAACAGTAAAAATCCACTTTCATCATTTGGGATAGTTTTATCTTTCTAGCGTATATACTAGATGTCACTGAAAGTTTGGTACTTCTTTAAGAAAAGGCACATCATTTTTATTTCATTCTGAATCGCGAGCACATCATTTTTATTTCATTCTAATTCGCGAAAGTTATCGATGGCCAAAATGGGAAACCACTTATCTCCATTGCGGTATTTCTGAATATCCGGTCCTATTTTATTACATCGAGGAGACACAAGCCAACTTTTTAGCTTGAACTTGAACATATTCTGCTAACGTAGAAGAAAAATCAAGGAAATTTGAAGAAAATACGATGATTGGTTTTGCGAAGAAAAAATGAAGAATGACGGGAAGCCCGCAACGTCGCAAATGAAGATGCGTGGTTTCGAACTTCGGCCATCGATATCTCTCGTCATAAAGGTTTTTTTTGCTGCTAAATTAATTATTCCTATGATGAATAATCTAGGAAAAAAGCTGTGAAAACTTACGTCAATATGGTGTTTTGGTACGTTATCTATGACATCAGGTACAACTCTTTCTGCTTTCAGAATATCGCTCATATTCTTCGGGCATTTGGGCACGTCATCGCTGACTCCGTCGATGCAACTCAAGTTTGCAAAAATGAGTAGTGAAAAGGCAAATAAATATGTCAATGTAAAAAATTGCGGAAGGTATGATGGGAGCTCCATTGCCATCGTTTACTCTGTAACTGCATGTAGGCAATCAGGTACACCAACCAGGCGTGTATCCGGGTGAATAGTACACGGAATTTCAAACAGGCCGAGCTACTCCTGGTTTCGAAAGAACTGGTGTTATGTGCTGGTTACACGCTCAAATTTCCGATCAAATGGTGACTGGTGCGCACCATCTACCATCAAATTTCTGCGGCCTGCAAAAATTTGATAGTAGATGATGGAGCTGTGGGGCTCATCCTTCATCTGATTTCCACACAACCGTGGTTTTTTCATGCTTATTTCAATCAATACGCTGTTTTAATTAATTTTACTCATCAATCTAGATAACTCTCGACCGCCATCTTGGTCATCATTTTGATCGGAATTTGACGGAAATTTGAGCGTGTAACCAGGCCAGAGAGCACTGAGTCCGCTCCTGTCCGCGCGGGAATTACAAACAGATTCACCATGCTTCATTCCGCAGATGGTGGATAGAGTGGGCTTTTAAAATAATTCGAACGGCATTGATAAATCAACTTACTCGGTAACGCAGTTTTCTGGATTTAAAGAGTTCTCGGTTAAATTATCTGGACTACTATCATTTCGATCATTTTATTTGAGGTCCGTTTTGCAAACGTCAACAGTGGCGAATTCCGGGAGTTTGCAACCATGGATTTTCTCCATTTAAACGTTTGTAAAATAGTCGATGTCAAGGGAGGCAGCATGCTTCGATGAATTTCGATATTTCTCACGCATTTAAATGGACGGAACGCAGTGTTGCCAACTGGACAGAGCACGACTACGCGCGGTGGCTGTGGGCAACATACTGAATGACAGGGAGAAAAACAGGCTCATGATGGACGCTATCAGTGTTACGTCACAGGAAAGCGATGTAAGCATCTCTCTTCGCGACTCCCCCATAAGGTGATTCGTCAAGCTCGAGTAACGTGGTCGAACTGGCATGCGATATATCGCATGGATTAGGTTAAAAACCTTGGTTGATTTTGAATTTTTTGCAAAAAAAAGGACGATAGTCCCTGCGCAGTCCTGGTAAACTTTGCTCCTTATGTAACGCGTAGGCTGTTACGCAACAGCAAAAATACGGGCCGGCTATCGTTTCCGCCCACTTTTCGCGATTTTATCATTTCCGCCCATTTTTCGCGATTGTCATTTTCGCCCTCTTTTCTTTTATTTTTGAATTTTCTTGCGAGACTTGGCAACCGAAAAAACGAAAAAAGGAATCAACGTTTTGAAGTACTCACCGGTCGGAAACTTAAAGTTGAGTGTCAGGGTCATCTTCCTCGTCTGTGCCTACGGGATCCACAGAAGCGGTTGGAGGGTGTCTGATGTGAACCAGCTCATGCAAAAATTGGACCGGAGTGATGTACCCGAACGTGTAGAGTGCATCCGTTAGGCTGATTATAATTTCTTCCTCATCCGACTGCTGTTTTCTTTTCTTAAACGTTTCGTTTTGATTTATGGAATTTATTTTTAAAGAGATTATGGTTTGAGCATTTGTAATTTGGTCAATTGCTTCATAAACGTTTCGATGGCTGTGATAAAACTCGTAGTCAAGCTTGCCATTATAATTTTCGACAGCATTCGTTGTGGTGATACAACTTCGTGTGAAAACTGAAGCCCACAAAGAGGGAGGGAAAGTATTGCTATAAATGTAATTTTTGGAAATGTATAAAACGAATTTATGGCAGCAGGGGTGGTTCGGAGCAGTAGCTTCAAGGTGTAAAAAAGCATCGATGACATGCTCTGGCTTTAAATATGATAGTGAAAAGAATAGTTTAAGCCAGTTTCTTATTTCCACTAATACTATATTTTCATCTCCTTTATAATTGTAGGCAATATAGAGAAATTTCGATTTAGTTATTCGACGGTACCAACTTTGCCCCAGGTGGAATTTACACGCTGTTATCCGTACGTCACAAAACACTTTTCTTGCTGCGTTATGCGCGGCAACTTCAAAATCCAACATGATTTCATGAATTGTTAGCTCTATCTGAGACATGTCAAGAGACATCTTTTTAAGTAACTGCCACATGCTTATGTACGTTTCCTCCGTTTTTGATGGCCAAAAAAAAAGTCGCAACATGGACATTTAGGCCATTTTTAAAGACATGAATTGTAATTTTTAAAGACATGAATTGTATACGTTTGCATAAAATGTTTTGGCGCATATTTAAACGTGCCATCGGCTAAAATATTTTCATTGTAGCGCGTCAAAAAATGCATGTTTTCTGGAAATGAAACACCAACAATTTTGCTGGCTGGGTCTGAGTACACTTTTAGCCCTTTATCTCCTGCCTTCGGAACAAAAAGTGACAGTTGACTGAGGACATCGTCAATATTTTTTGGAACAGTAGGTTTTATTTTTTGTCTTGCTCTGTACGCCGCAAGAGTCAGAGGCTGTACATCGGGAAACGTTACGTTATCACTAACTTCACTTAGGACTTGCCTTAAAATTTGAAATGAAAAGTGGGCGGAAAAGATATGCAGCCAAAATACGCTTCTTGCGTAACGCAAAATGAGTGGGCTCATGTCTGTACAAAATTGAAACTTAAAGAAAAAAAATAAAGAGCCTGTGAAAATTAGAAGGCTCATGCCTCTACATACCCACACGAAAATGCATAAACACGTGCATTTTTATACCGAACAAGTACACGTATTAGATTAAAACAACGCGACCGATCACTTATGGCAATGATCGAACTCCTGAGCCTTGGACGGTTAAAACCTACGAAAAAAGCCGTCCGTGAACTTTAAAACTTGCCTGCCTGGTCGTTTTTCTCCGGCCATTCTTTCCACGAAGCGCCGGAGGTCTGCGAGGGATGAGAGCACTGGTCGGCGTTGAGTAAGTTTTTGGGGAGGACTGGCAGGCGCTAGGGGCGAATTGTCGGAGTTTAAGAACCAAGTTGGGCTCTCTTCCTTTGGAGGGGGAGAGGGGGAGAGGGGGAGAGGAGGAGTCCAAGTCAATGATGTCCGTGATTTTTCTAAGCTTAGGGGATGGGACGATCAAACGGTCGGTGAAAACGAACTGAGCTTGCGTCGGCCCGAGAAAGTAGGCAGGGCGATACAGATCACCTGCACATGTGGAATTCTGCGCGGCTGAGCTCTGAAATACCTGATTTGTCATTTCAATTCTCAATGAGTTGCCTAATAGTAAGGCTGGAGGGATGTGCATTTCAGCGCGCCGAGCAACAGCCCCGGCGCAGACGAGCGTGTACATACCGCAATCGCCCTTGTTTTCTTGTTGTGGGCAAAAAGCTGGATAACAGAACCAGTCCGACGAATTCCAACTTCTTTCAAGAAAAAAGCTCAGGAAACCTTTAGTTGCTGATAGGACGTTTTGGGCCGTTTGTTCATTGTTCTTCTGGTTAAGTAAAGTTTAAGAAAAAAAATTAAAGTTGATTATAAGCTGGAGAAAGTAACCCTCAAACGCTGCAGATGGGAAAAATTAGCTTACAATTAGAAAAGCAGTTATCAACCTTCACTGAATGCGCGAATAACTGAACGTACAAGATGCGTTACATAATGTACAACATTGACGCATTTTTGTTTCAAGTGGAAGAAATAAACTTATAGCAAGTTTTCATCGATACTTCAGTTAAAATAGTACATTATGAACATTGCACACATATTTTAAAATCATTAAAGTAATCAGTTTCAGTAATGCCGCTCCGCGGCGGAGAAATTCATCATCACCATACGAAACTTGTTGAAACGTTTCCATTTGCATTACTTGCCTGCCGTCTACTCTACATTCCCCTCGATATTTTAACAACCACGTTTGAGTATAAACACAGAAACATACTTATAGCTGATGCTGATGTTTGCATTCATTGCAGAGCGAAAACATGACGAGGAAAATTAGGCGTCTAAGTCAGTGTCAGGCTTGCACGATGCTCCAAACGATTCTCGCGATTGCCGTCACGCGTGACGCGTCCTGCGCAACCGCTACCGTTCAAAACTCCTTCAGTTCGGGAAGTATGCAATTTTCTCTCCGGAGAGTTAAAATAGTTGCTTGTCGCGTTTCAATGCTATTGTACGGGTGTACATGAAGGAGTCCTTCCGAAGAAATAATATTTAACAAATTAACAGTCCACTAAGATCAAATGATAGAGGAACCTTGGGAAACCAGGACCAATTCAATTTCGACCAATTTCTATTCTTTCTTTGCACCTTCGGGGGAATCAATTGAATCTGGTGTTTAGCAACGTGGCTTGAGAGTAGAATTGGGGCTTCAAAAGATACTCTCTTAAATCCTCGTCTCTCTTTGTACCTTTATTTTTACAAGCCACTCGGAAGAAGGCCAAGAATGGGTCAGATCTCAACACCAATCTGTTCATCAGGCCCGTATTTGAATGAACTCTGGTATCTTTTCAAGTATGATCTTTCCTCTCTCTTTTGGTGCCTTTATGGGTTGACTCTAACTCATCAGACCAATAGGGTGTTCAAAGTGAAGGATTCTAGCCGGGCCATGAACTTGAAATGTATGGACTGTGTCAGGCATCTTGTGCCAAGAGTAGAGTTTTAAATACAGGTCAAAAGTAGCGTTTGTTAAATTTTGAAATTTTGTGACATCCAGATAGTCTTGGCAATTTATTACTCTTAAAATGATGTAAAAATTTTTACGGAGTCTATCGTTAAGGCGAGTGATGGTAGAACTGATTTTATAATTTTTGAAAAATGTTGGAGCGGTGTTCTCATCCTTGGTTCATCCAAAGCCTTGCTCACTATATTTTTGAAATTGACAAAGGTAATTTTTGTTTTAAAATCAAGTTGGATTTTTAATTTAATTTCATTATGAATACTGAAATACGCCGCAGTTTTATGCTACCTTTTGAACTTTACTCGATAGGCGATGCTCAAGCAACACTCTAACCATCGGATCCGGCAATGTAAAACTGACTTCCCGTACTTAAATTTTTCAAAATCCGGTACCAGCCCAAAAACGTTTTTTAAGTTAACGTCATTTAGTTTTGCAAACTACACAACAAACACACATTAAATAACTAATACAATAAACACAAAATTCTCCAAGGTGCCGCAATGATTTTCAAAATGCTGCTATCCGTCATTTTTAAATGAGATTTGAATCCTCATATTTATATTTTCTGAATTGACTTACCACGAAGTCTGCTGCGGAACCGTGGATCCATAAACGCACACTTGGCCAAGACGTTCCGGGTTTTTAGGCCTCTTTTCTCTGCGACAGTGAGGCTACCATCCTTTTTCTTTTTCATATTTGCCGGGGGATCGTACCTGGCTTCCAATGCAGACATGACACACTCAATGAGGTGCTCCTTAATGCTGAAATGAAAAAACGTGAAAAACGTCAGATTAGCTACATGAATCATTCATCACTTTAATAATTTGCGGCGCGGCGCATTTTCTCAGATTTTCCATTTTTTAGCTTGGCTAACGATGAACGATGAAATTATAATGCCAACTTTACTCGGTAGGCGATGCTCAGGCAACAACTCGCACAATACATAACAAACACACAATAAACAACACAAAAAATACTGCAGGTTGCAGTTGAATTTTTGTCTGTAATGATATTCCGAACGCTGTCATCTGTTATTTTTAAATGAAATTTGAAATCAAAACTGAATTTTTTTTCTCCGATTGTTAAAGTAAAACTTTGAATCCCTTTATTGAATATTTCATTAAATTTCTGAATCTCTGCTGAAACTAAATCTGGATTTTCTTTCGTAAAAATACATTTTAAAAACAAACAACCAACAACACATACAACAAATACATGAAACGATGAACAATGCTCTCCTTTAATCGTTGTCTTAACGTGACTTTTGAGAGCCTCTCTTGGCAGCTAAAGCAAGTTGTTTTCTTCCACACGCAGGTTTCAAAAAAGGATTATCCTGCATTTTTGGTGTACGTTGTTTTGGAGGCTTAGTCACACTGGCACCTGCCTTGGAACATAATTGAATGTCTAGTCCTCTTCTCAATGCGGGCCATTTTGGGTAAGTGTTCCAAATTTACCGATGTAAGTTCTTCATGGGACAATGACTTCAGATCACCCGCGGCACCTTTTTCCTTGTTGATCTTGAACTACTCGCCTAAATTCGCAAAACAGGTCTGTAAAACAGGGTATTTCTCAAGTACACGATCAACACATTGGCCGTGGGCTAGCTACCTGGTTTCAGATTTAAACATGATTTTATATATTCAGGTCCCATTAGTTGTTATAAGTGACAAAAGTTTCCAACTTGTTTGCAACTTTTACCGAACATTTCGATGTGGTCTTGAATAAATAAGTATGTTGCGAGCCATGTTAGAAGGAGACTCTCCACAGAAATGTAGCTCTCAAACACTTCAATTAAGATTTTATGGAGATCAAAAAACCCAGTCGGCCTGGTGCTGCCTTAACTTGATCCTGAAACTTACTTCCTTTCATTTCGTCTTCTTCGTCGTCTGCATCACTTACTAAATCTTCATCACCTTCTGGATCATTTGTCGACCAAAAACCTCAACTGAGAAATGTAGGTGAAAACTGCTATCAAGAATTTGTCCGTGTCCAAAATTTTTCCAGCTAAAGCATCGTTGAATTTTTCAGCGTTTCCTCTCTTGAGTTAAAAACATAGAATAGTCTGTTGAAAATTTTGATGACTTTAACGGTGTCATCGCTATTTGGAAAATCCTTGATATTAAATCAATTCCGAATACCAAATGCTCTTTCAACAACGAAGCAGTTGAGAAGCTAATTTGACTTTCATCTCGTTATCCTTGAAGCGGATACTGATAAAGGCAAAATGGCACGAAAAGTCTCTTTAAACCAAACACAAGGTAAAATAACACGATAAATACAAAATACATACTAACAATATAATAATAAAAAATACTGGTAATGAACGAGAAGAAAAGAAAAACAGTCTTCAAAATATATTCAACGAGGGGAAAAAACCAGTCTTCAAATTATGAAATACGCCAAGTATCTGAAAATCTATACGATTCTTGCGATTGCCGCGACGCGTGACGCGTCCTGCACAACCGCTACCGCTCAAAACTCCTTCAGTTCGGGAAGTATGCAATTTTCTCTCCGGAGAGTTAAAATAGTTGCTTGTCGCGTCTCAATGCTATTGAACGGGTGTACGTGAAGGAGTCCGTCGGAAGAAATAATATTTAACAAATTACCAGTCCACCGAGATCAAATGACTGAGGAACTTGGGAAGCCAGGATCAATTCAATTTTGACTTACTCCTATTCTTCCTCTGCACTTTCGGGGGAATCAGTTGAATCTGGTGCTTAGCAACGTGGCTAGAGAGATGGATTGCGGCCTCAAAAGATACTCTCCTAAATCCACGTTTCTCTTTGTACCTTTATTTTTACAAGCCACTCGGAAGAAGGCCAAGAATGGGTCAGATCTCAACACCAATCAGTTCATCAGTTCCGTATTTGAATGAACTCTGGTATCTTTTCAAATATGATATTTTGTGTCTTTATGGGCTGACTTCAACCCATCCTCCCAATAGGGAGTTTAAGGTGAAGGATTATAGCCGGGCCATAACTTGAAATGTATGGATTGTGACAGGCATCTCGTACCAAGTGTAGAGTTTTAAAGACTGGTCGAAAATAGCGTTTGTTACATTTTGCAATTTTGTGACATCCAGATAATCTTTGCAATTTACTACTCTTAAAATGATATACAGATTCTTAAGGAGTTCTTCGTTAGGGCCAGTCATGGCAACACTAATTTTATAATTTTTGAAAAATGTTCGAGCGATGTTCCCGTCGTTGGCCTTGTTCACTAATTTTGAAATTGACAGAGGTAATTGTGTTTTAAATTCAAGTTGGATTTTTAATTTAGCTTCATTATGAATACTAAAATACGCCGCAGTTTTTTGCCACCTCTTGAACTTTACTCGGTAGGCGATGCTCAGGCAACACTCCAAGCGTGGGATACGGCAGTGTAAAACTGACATCCCGTACTTAAATTTTTCAGAATCTGGTACCCGCTTAAAAACGTCTTTTGAGTTCACGTCATTAAGTATTGCGCAATAAACAACAAGCACACAATAAACAACACAAAACATACTGCCGGTTGCGGTTGAACTAACTGTCGTAATGATATTCAGAACACTGCCATCTGTCAATGTCAAATCAAATTTGAAATCAAAGTTGAATTTTTTTGTCTGATTGTTAAAGTAAAATTTTGAATGCCTCTCTTGAATATTTCATTAAATTTCTGAATCTCTGCTGAAACTAAATCTAGATTTTCTTCAGTAAAAATATATGTACATTTTAAAAACAAACAACAAACAATACATACAACGGGAACATAAAACAATGAACAAGGCTCTCCTCTAATCATTGTCTTAACTTGATTTTTGAGAGCCTCTCTTGGCCAGCTAAGGTAATTCGTTTTCGTCTAGACGCAGGTTTCAAAAAAGGATTTTCTTGCGTTTTTGGTGAACGTTGTTTTGGAGGCGTAGTCGCACTGGTAACTGCCTTGGGACACAATTGAATGTCCAGTCCTCTTCTCAGTGCGGGCCTTTTTGGGTAGGATTTTGTCCCGTGAATCCGGTTGGGGTTGAGGAGTGTCAATCAGATTTTGTTCTAAAAAATAGGAATTTCGCATATGACTTGTAGACAGAAACATGTGGAGCATTTCCATGAGAAAAAGCTGTACTTACGGCCGTAATCCTGTTCCAATTGGTCCTATTCATTTTCGCTTTTGATAACAAATTCGTCACTCGCGATTCACCCACTATCTACACTGTTGCCTCATGCTTCTGTTTTAAGGGGATCCCTTCACTTAAATACTTTTTTTGATTACAAATAATTTTAAGACGGTCAGTGGCCAAGCCTTTTAATCATACAGCTTGTTTCTATTGTGCAATGGGTTTTTTTCGGTAATTTGCAATTCGTCCATTCTTGAAAATTAGTGAGTGCACTTTCAAGGAGAGGGCTTCCATTTTCTTCCGATTTCGGGAATGGCCCCTAGGGTATAGTATCTACGTATCTGCTGCCAGCACTAGTTGCACCGCATGATGGATAGCATGGATAGCGCATGCAGCTTGCCAAACGCAACAATTTGCAGACCGACCGAAGACACATGCGTTTTCCCCAAATTTCGGATTTTTCAGTGGGCGTTCGGGGGGGGGGGGTTAATGGGCATGCGCTGTCAATACGAGGGTACATGCTCTTGTTCAGGGGCATGCAAACTTAAAAGAAGCAACAATTTCTTGATAAAGCAGATAACTCACATAATTTAGAATAGCACGAACAATTTTATCGTTAAATGAATCCAATTTATTTCCTCCCATAAAATATTTAATTTTGAAGTAGAGTGTGTTTATTTTTCCTTAGAATTTTCAATAATATGAAAAGAAACATCAGAATTTGCAGTTTTAGTCAAAAATTTCATGTCCGACCTCTCCACTTGATTTACTGTGCGCTGTATGAATTCTCGAAAGTTGCCAGATTTCCTCCCATAAAATATGTAATTTTGAAGTAGAGTACGTTTATGTTTCCTCAGAATTTTCAGTAATATCATATTAAAGTGCAATGGAAATCCTCTGAACAATGCAACGAAAAATGTCCAAAATCCTCCAAATAAACTTGGCAACGTGTGAATGCATTTATGGCGTTTTTCCTTACCTCGGTCGAATCCACTTTATGACACACCCGAGAACACGGGATGTACGCGAATGCGATTTTATGAGCCTCATAAAATTTTCCACGATTTTTCGTCATCTCAATCGAACTTAGATCACGAAATCGGGAGCTTCGATCTGCTTGGTTTATTAACGTCCGTGGAGCCTAGAGTTTCCGATTTTTTTACAGCTAAAATCTTAGAAAACGCCATTGTTTTTTTTTTCAACTGTGATATATAGTTTTTGTGAATTTGCCTCTTCTTCACTTCGGGACATAGAAGTAAGTGCTTTCTTTTCAGTCATCCATACCCAACTTCCATATTAAAACACACTTTCCGGAGGGAGGATGCTGCAAAATTACCTCTTTTTGAACTTCAGCAATCTGACTTGCCAAGGCTTTGAAGCTCCGCCAAAGTTTCCATGACACGCGTATCTTCTTGTGGAGGCAAACATTGTTTTTTGGCCCCAAGCACTTTTTGATATGATGAAAAGCAGCAAATTAGCTAGTCATCAATTCTTGGCAAATAGCCAAGTACTGATGTTTTGTCAAATTATTGTCGATTAGAAAAGTCAGAGTACCCTGTGGAGTTTTTTCGGGTTTATTTTCATTTTGTAATTTTTTTTTCCCCCTTTTAGAACAAATTACCTCTTCTCGAGGCATCTGTGAAATAGAATGCATTAACTCGGCATGTATTCGTTTCCCTTTTTTATGAAGGGACATATGATAGGCGTGAAAGAGCTCATTTGTCGAATATATACTCGCCAAATTTCCAGCTTTCAACCTTTTTCCATTGTTCCTCCCACTCCATTGCTCTTGTCCACTCTCTTTCCTTTCTCTGCCTCTCAAAACGTTTTTTTTTCCTTTTGCAGTTTCTTCAATTTTATAAGATCAATTGTTTCTGGAACAAAAAAGTGAACTGGTTGATTAGAGAGAAATAGATACCAACCTAACTTCAGAATCATCAAAATTCTTATGCGGTCGGCTAGGTCGTCTATCATTGTTTTTTGGATTCGTTAAAAGACAAGTAGAGTCGAGAACAAACGTTTGCAGCCAGCCTACATGCTTCTCCCAAAAAAATCTTTCAGTACGATTTGCCTGCTTCCACTTTTATACAAAGCGACTTCTGAAACACTCTACCTTGTAATCGATGGCTCCCTTTGCTTCTTTTGTGAGGTTCTTTTTGTTCAAGAAATTCACGAGAACTGCGTGGCTCTTTGTATTACAGGGGACGTATCCTACTCTCGAGTCCTTCAAAGCTTTGAAAAGTGTTTCATTCGTTATTTCATGTCCTCCTGGAAGCATGATTTGAAAGAGGCCAAATTAGGATTGGGACTGCATGGTCTTCAAATCTAAACTAACACAAGCATGTCAAGGAATATGATACACTAATTTCAATTTTAATTAATTTTCAAAAGGAAGTGCAATACTCTTGTGGACCTTATTTTAAAATCAGGTACTGCATAGTGGTTACATTACAGTGAAGGTACAAAATTTTAAGTGCATGCGTGATGACTCGTGTTAAATTGCGATTCACCTATGTATCTCAAAGTTTATGTTACTCTTCTATCACTTTTCTACAGTTTTCTCATAAAATGAAATAACAAGTACGTATCACTGAATTCCCGTCAGAAAAAACACTTAAGCAAGCAAACATTTTTAGATAACGAAATTGCTGTAAGAACTTTCAAACTTATGTCATTGCTAATCTCGAAATAAAGAACTGTAGAAAATATCTGGTTCAATTTTTAGTTTCAGGATGAGCTTACAGATAAGGGTACATTTTCTATGGACAGACTCCACTCTAAGTGAATATGGGAGAAAAGAATAGTTTTATAACATTGCTAGAGAGGTAGAACGTTATCACCCACTCGTAACATGGTGTATGAAGTTCTCATGAGAGCCGAGCGGGCGACCTTCAGAAGGCTGTATTTAAAAAACTGGCAAAAATCGGCAAAAGGCATTTGGATCTACATCATGCCTAAGATTAGGAGTAACTAGTAATGGCCGTTTAAAAGGTGTCTGAGGGTGACGAAGTAGTGATATTCAGCCATTTATGTGGAAAATTACGTGAAATTAACGCAAAATAGCGTTATTTCTAAGGAATTATCTAAATCTGTAGACTTGATCTGAAGATATGATTTCAACATGATAAACCTTAAACTTCCCTTCTTTAGGATTCCTTTTTCGAAACTGTGTTTCTTTGCCTAAGATGGCGACGCACCTCACATGTAAACGTCACTTCACTGTGATACTTGAGGAAAGGGGTATAGAACTGCAGAAAGACGCCTTGTGTTCTTACCTTTAGAATCTTATCATTTTCTTTATAATGAAGAACGGATATAATTTGTCAGATGATTCTTCAGATCATATGCTGCTGAAAATATAGCCGCTTCTCTATGCCTTGCGCTCTCCATCCTTCCAAATAATCTCTCTGTTTCTCCTCGAAAAAATAAAGTTGGAGTGAAATTTTGCAACACCGCAATGGATGACACGGGGTCCTTCATTTTGGCCATCAATACTGTGGTTCCTAATTTTGTAGCCCGTCTAGTGGTTCATTTTGGTAACAGTTTATGGCCCGCAGCGGGCTGATTGTTGAAATTGTTAGAAAAAGCGATAGACAAATAATACCAAAAGGATACGGAGGGATCCTGTTGGTAGAAACGGGCGGTTGCAATGGATATAGAAAGTAGGTAATAGACTAGCTAACGACAACCCACGAGAGACCCTTTAGTTAGTCCATCATTTTCTACTTAGTCTATATGAATCACCCTTTTAACCAATAGGATCGCTCCATACCCCTTATGTTTTCTTTGTCTATAGCTTTGTGTATCAATTTCATCAATCAGCCCGCAGGTTCCGCAAAATCCACAGTAGCATGTCATGTACAGCTCATGCAATCGATCGCTGTGCAAGTTACGTGAATGAAGCCGTATCTCGGTAACATGGGCGCATTCCTTGTCTTGGTCATCGTTGGCTCGGCGCTGTCCGTGGACTACGTACATGCGGACGATGCAGATGATGATGTGAATGAGACGGTGGTAGCCGATGTAGAGCGTCGAACTACAGCTCACCCTGACATTCGACTCGACGGGAAATTGGTGCCTCTCCAGTACGATCTGGAGATTTCCACCGGCATCGACCAAGATAATTTCGACTTCTGGGGTCGTGTCAGAATTCAGGTAAGTGAATCCTAAATTGGAGATGGGAACGAAAAAGTGTGTGTGTCAGTCGAGGGCTCCTGTTATTTCTCATGGTTTCCTTGACAAACAAGTCAACGTGTTTCATCGAATAAATCCATACAAAATGAAACTGTGCAAAAAACTTCAAAATCATGACTTGAAAAACGCTACTTGAGTTTGAATGATAGCCCAAACACTGCGCTGCGGTCGGCCCGAAACGCATGTAAGCACCTGCAAGACTGCATGAATACTTCACGTATTGCACGCACTACACCCTGCACGCTGTTAGTGCCTGCAAGGCTGCGTGGATACTTCACGCATTACGCGGACGGTGCGCGCTTTAATCGTCGCGTTTCCCAGTTTCCCGTCCTATGTAATTCAAAGTGTAAACAACGTGCAACAGCTAAACCATGTGCGTTTGACTTAAGTTTTTCTTGTGGGCAGGGATTTTGAAATTATGGATTGGAAATCGTAATATCTTGATTAGTGGTTACTTTCAATAATTCTCGTTGCATAAATGTGCTCTACGTTCACAGCGGAAATCTTAGGGTAATTACTCGAGGAAATTCAAATAGAAATCGCTCGTACCTCCGTTTGCAACGTCGCAGATTTCCTTTCGTACTTTATTTTCTCCTTGGAAACCCGGTCAACGTAAAACAAAAAAAACATGGTCTGATTGCGTTTCTCATATCGTCGGCTTTGTTGACATGCGATTTTTTTCTTTTTTGCATTTTGATGCCTGATTTTTTTGAGGTTCTAGGGAATAATTTTTTAACGGCTTGTGCCACACTATCAAAATACGCCATCAAAATATCAAGGTCAGGTGTTGTGATCGGCTTATTTGCTGACTTGGACCAATCACACCACTTGACCTTGACATTTTGATGGAGTCTTTTGATTGTGTGACACAGGCAAATGTCACCAAGGAATGGCGTTTCTGACTTCTTCCCCTGAAAAAAGAATTATCCTAAGACCATCTTAGAGTTCGACAAAGTTTTTTCCTGTTATTAGTAAGAAAGTCGTTGAAAAACTAAAATTGACGGTGTGACGACAGTAAAACACGGATTTCCCCGTATAAAAACATCAGCCCATATTCTTTTTATGCCCGGCTGTCCATTTTGAAATATAATCTCGTAAAAACTTTAATTTACCTACCCTCTGGCAATGGACCACTAGGCAAGCTCGAAAGTTATGCATTCTGATACATGTTTTTTGAACTAAATTTCACGTAAAGCATTCTTCAGACTTAATGAAACTTTCGGAGACCCGCGCAAAAAAATGAACAGTACACTTTTTAAAAAAACTCACACTTAAAGTATTAATTTGTGGACGCGTTTCGCCGGTTCGCAACTCCGGCATACTCAATGCCACTGGTTCCCTGGCCCGCGGTGCGGCGGTCGCTATCATTTTCCTTCACATCTCGCCTACTGAGGGTTCTGAACAGAGGATTGTTGATACCGCTCAAATCTTGGTTGAAGTTGTTGGGGTGCTGAAGATGAAGATATTTTCCCAAGTTGCTAGATCTTGCTTTTTATTAATTTCTTTGTGGAGTGAAGGATTTATGTTTACTTCATGGTTTTCTTTCCATACATGTGCTGCCACCGCCGATCTTTTAATGCCCATTTTCTTGATACTATTTTCGTGTTCTTTGCCCCTAATATTTCTCATCTTTGAGGTGGAAGTAATTTAGTGCTTTTTGCCCCAAACCCCTCAAAAATGCTTGATTCTTTTCATTCAGAAAGAAGAAGTCCAAAGATATCTCTTTGGAGACTGCCACTGTCAACACCTATTTTATCCTTGAAACTTTGAAACAAACACGAATGCATGCTGAATTGCTAAAGATAGCTTTTACGGCTGTCTTGCCTTCCCCTAGCCTAACGTGAAAATGAATAATATCTTGTGTTGTATAATGGAGGTAAAATCGGTCGATTTATCATCATCTGATAGATTTCTAAAAGTCCTTCGAATAATTGGTTTCACTAAAATTTTCCACTCCGAAGTTACTGAGCACGTTTTCTCAAATCTTCGTTTTTGCACTTACGGCTCTCCTCGCCATCACGGCAGCGTGGATCACCCCCCGATTTGCATCTTTTTTCTGCTCAGATGATGTGCATAGCAGACACGAAGCGGATCAGACTCCATTCCAAAGATCTGAGCATCGACACAGAGAACGTGGCATTGTGGGAGCTTGCTCCAGGTGTGGAGCCTCCCATCACCATAATGAACCATACTCTCTGGGATTACGCCGACTTTTACACAGCGACAACCGCGAGGACTTTGGAACGCGGGAAAACTTACGTTTACTCCATACCCTTCAGCGGGAAGCTAGCTGACCCTCAGCTCGATCCATCGCATTTTCCCAAAGGATTTTTCCGGACGTCTTACTTCGATAAGGAAACCCAGAAACGGAAGTAGGTAAATGGACCACTAGACAAGGTCTCAAGTAGAGGAGAATGTCACATGTTTCTTCTTCAAATTCTCACATAAAAATAATTAAAATTGTGGGAGGTTTTGATATGGCGTCATCTTCCGGCTAAAGCATCACAAACACCGTGCGAAGTTTAAAACTTTAAAACTTCCAAACAACTTTCAACTAGAAGTTAAAAACATTTTATTTTTACGCAGAAACATTTTTGGCTGAAGCTGTCCAGAAATGTCACTGAACTTTCTTTGTGCTACCGATTAAATTCAGTGAAATTTTCAAACAGATTTAACCAACGACTTCTCTGTCAAAAACAAAATTGCGACAAAAATTTTGAAACGTCGCATGGCGCTTGTAATACTTTGGCCGGAAGGTGACAATATTAACTTCTGAATGAGGTATTAGCAAGTCTCTTAAACACAGATCAAATGGAAGTTAGATTATAAAAATAACGTCATTTCATCGTCTTCCTCGTGAAAGAAAGTAACTAGATTTCATGTTGCCAAAAGTTCAACTTGCAAATTGCATTCTAACCAGGAGAAAATTGGATATTTTCAACTGAAAATTTCATTAATTTTTCTTGTGATTTCATGAAATAATTAGGATTGCAAAAATTGCAAAGGTACGATCTTGTGAAAAATAGGATCAATAGGGTCGTTTAAAGGAATTTTGCAACCTTGGAAAGGAATTATGTTCCCCCGTACGGTGAACGACGATTTGTATTCCTACCATTTAACTAATGTCGAAAGGAAACTTGAAAAACCTTGTTAACGAGTAGATTTTCAAACTTACCGTTTTGTGACCTTTTTTCCTCGTGAAATTTTATGGAGACGTAGCGTTGTGCTATAATGCGTATCTTGTCCAGAGACTCATTAATCAATTTCGTAGAATTATTCGTAGTTTCGTAGAATTCGTAGAAAATTTAATGCACTCTCCAAGTAGCTCAGTGCAACGATGTCACAATTCGTCCAAAATATCTACGGGTCGGCTCTCATAATGTGTGCGGTTATCGATGAGAGATAGTCTCTGCCCCCTGGGATCGGGCCGCGTACACTGGAAAAAAAATAGCTTGGATCAAGCATGATGATTCTTGAATTTGCCGCCAAGAATTTTTTATACCTTGCTTCAAGCTGACTCTTTCTTGATACAAGACAAATAAGGCTAGGGTTAAGCAGAAAAGTAGCTTATATTAACAGAAAAATTTTTGATTTAAGAAGAAAAACTTCTTGGCGGCAAATTTAAGAATCTTTTTTTTCCAGTGACCGGCCAGGGACCCGGGAGTCCCCTTAGGATCTAAAATACCGTNGGGGGGGGGGGGGGGGGGGGGGATAGATTATCCGATAAAATCTGGCTCGATTCTGTTCTGTTTATTGTGGCCCCTACAATATCATAAGGAACGTAACATTTTCTTCAGGTTCATGGCTGCAACCCATTTCGAGGCGATTTACGCGCGGCGAGCTTTCCCTTGTTTCGACGAGCCGGGGATGAAAGCTTATTTCTCCATCACCGTCGGTCACCCGCAGGGACTCACCGCGCTGAGCAACATGCCGATACGCCAAACGAGACCCATGTAAGTTATTTCAGTCGCGAAGGGCGCAGAAACTACGCATTTCAATAGTGGCGAGGCGTGAATAAGCGATTTTCGATATTTCCTCATTTGAAGCTGTGGAAAAGATTGATTATTAAGGTGTTCGCTGCGAACGCCCTATTCATCGATCCTTTTTCATTGGTTTGATCGGCAGAAAAATCGATGTATCGTAAAGCGCGCCACGCCACTGCGATTCCACGGGTTTGGGGTTGGACCACTAAGCGGTCAGGGGTGCACTATGTTACATAGTGCACCCCTGAGTGCACACAGAGCAACCACATTAATCCCTCGTGCAGGCGGGAAGCTATAACCATCTTGGCCCCATATGGCTGATGGGCTGGAGAGCTAGAGGCTTTGGAGCAAACTTGGATCGAGGGCAGGACGAGGAATGGAGGCTCAGCTAGTCGACTGACGTTTCGGTTTCACCCCCGGAGCATTGTCTTGCATCTCTATGCAAACTCAATGGATTAATGACAGAGAACATTAACCGCACTTAATCTTGAAACTCCTTTCAGAGAGATGCATTCGTATTTATTTTCGTAACAGTACTTTGAGTAGAACTGCCTATGGTAGATGCGGTATTGCGGTATAGTTAACTAATCCTAGCACCCAGTCAGATATCCTGAGTATTCAGCAATGACAGCCCAAACAAAAAGTAAATATTCCATTTCATACCTTGGGGCAGTGTGAAACCAGGTGTTCGGTTAGACGGGTGGCATTCTCGGCTCCTTCCCACTGACAAAATTCGCACACAGCAATTCGATTCTTTGCATTCGGATTGATTCTAACATTAAAATACATATATTTACGTGAGCCACTTAGTGGCTTGCCCTTGCCTGCATAGGTGGGCATTTTGAATAGAACTTGGCACTTGATGTCCTGAAACTGAGACCTCACACCGGCATGGTCATGGAATCAATCAAAATAAACAATTGAAATTTGAGGATAGGGTCCCCGGTCCCCCTCCCCTTGATGAGCCAGAACTGCAAGAAGAGAAAGAGTAAGAGAAGACCAGAAGAGAAGAGCTGAGAAAAGACCGCGCTCCAATTGGTCCAATTGACGAATATTATTCTCTTTAAAAATAAAAACAAATTCTGTTAGAAAAAATAAGCATTTTTGACATTTTGTCGGTCGAAAGAAATTTCATTGGGAAAAAAGAAATTTCTTTTAGCAACTCTGACTATGTACTGCCGTGCTAGGGAAAAAAGTCGTATGAACCTCCAGGCGTTGCTAAATTTTCTCTGATAAATACGAATTTATCGGGGAAATTTTAGGTATTTTTATTCCAATTTTTCAGAATATTTTGTTCGCAATTTAATTTAAGATATCTGAAAATTTTATGGAAAAATATACGTAAATTTCGTCAAAAATACACTTTATATCCGGGAAACTTTGGCAATTTTGAATGTTCATACGGCGTTCTTCCTTAGCACGGCAGTGTACCTCTTGGGTAGATCAGTATTAAATTGGAAGATTATTGTAGAGTGAAAAAGGTTATTCCAGACGGGTTCAATGACACTCCAAACATCTAGACACTTCGAACGGGGGAGCGTAATTGTGTTGTCGTCCCCCCCCCCCACCCCTAACTTTTTTCTATTTGTAATTTTTAAAGTAATCTTTGTGTTTTAAAGGAACATTTCCAAAAAAATTCAAAAATTCGCCGGAGAAAAGTATAGGTTGAAGTCTGATTCAACTTAATTTGGGAGCTTAAAATTATTGTGGTTGTACCCCATTGAATTAAGTTACTAACCAAACTTTTGGGCACTACCCCGTACTTGAGTTGCGTTACTACCAAAGTGCATCAGAAATTCCCATATCATTCAAGAAAATGGGGTCGTATCTTCATTCTAGTAGGGGATTACCCTCATAACATAACATATTCCCTCCCACAACGCGCTCCAGCGTTTTGTGACACACAAAAGCCACATACACTCTGTTGACAATCTCGGCGCGAAATTCACGCTTACTCAGTTGCTATTTTGACCACCTGTTACACTGAGTGCGTGGATCTGGCGCAAAATTCGCGCTATAGTGGGAGTGAAAATCTACACTGGAAAAAAAACACATCGGATCTAGAGTCGAGACTCTTGAAAACATTGACAAGAAAAATGACTCTTGATTCAATCAGAGTTTTGCTTAAATCAAAAGGAAATCCGCTCAAATTAAGAGGCTTGGTTCTTGATTTAAGCTTAGATTTGATTGAATCAAGAGTGTTTTTTCTTTTCGATGTTTTTAAGAGTCTGGACTCTAGGTCCAATGTGTTTTTTTTTTTCCCAGTGTGACAATTGTGACATGCAAATGTAAAATGGAACCGTCGCCGCCGCAGCATGGATTGGAGGTCGGGTCGCGGCTCGCGGCGGTAATAGACGCTTGCGCTACGATTTTGCCATTTGACGCTTGAAATTGGGTACTGTGAATTCACGCTACTTGAGGAAGCTCTACTAAATCGTCCATCGTTGGTGCTATTCACGCTCTGATATATTCACTCTGAGTGCGGCGCGATATTCGCGCTGGCTTTTCTTTTTTCACGCCGGCTATTCACTCAGAGTAAATCATTGATTTTTAATAGTGTACCTATCTTCAATTCTTCATAGAAATTATCGGGCAACTGATAGTGCTACATTTCTTCGCTAACGCCCTGCCACAATCTCTTCATGGGACGTCCCCCTAACACTTGCAGATTGTCCCGATTACTTTTGTTTCTCCGTGATCCCAAAACAAGCCCGGAAAACTAAAAAGTTCATAGTTTTTCGGAGAAATCATGGAATTCCAGATTTATTACAAACTCCTCTAGAATTTTCTGGAAAATTGTCGGAAATTTTTTGCTACTACTTCAAATATCCCACAAGGGCTTAAACGTACCAACATAGGGGGCCGTCCTTCGTCCTTCCCTAATGGAAATTGGATTATTATAATTGGATATTTGGAAAATTTTTGGAAATTGGAAATTTGAGAACTTCTACGCTGCTCTCTCTTTTCGCAGGGAGAATATGCCAGGCTGGGTGTTGGACGAGTTCGAACAAACCCCGCGCATGTCAACGTACCTGGTCGCTTTCACGGTTTCAGACTTCGTCCGCTCGACAATTTTGTCTATCGATGCGTCTGACCAATCAGGAGTCGTGGAGGAAGGTGACGTTTCCGACGAGAAATACGGTTCGAGCAGAGTACTTATTTCCGTGTGGGCACCGAGGCTTTTCCAGGACACCGCGAGGCCGTTCGGCAACATGACGCGAGCTGCACGCTGGATCCTTTCCCGGGCGGTTCCCCTCCTCGAGGGAAAATTCCGAAGCCCGTTGCAAGTGCCGTGGGTAAATATGATCGCCGTCCCGCGGTTCCCGTATCAAGGCATGGAAAACTGGGGTCTTATCATGTACATGTGCGTATAATCTCCATCCAGTGCTACCATTTTACTTTGTCAAAGTTTGTGGGGTTCCCGGAATTGATTCAGGCATCCAAAAGTTCCGATGAAAAGAATACGCCCAGGTTTGGTTCCGAGATTTGATATTTAAAAAAAAAAAAAAAAAAAAAAAAAAAAAAAAAAGGGGGCAAACCGATGAACACCCAGAAAAGAAAAGAAAATCCGAAAATAACTGGAATTTTCAGGAATTCCGAAAATAGCTAGAATCTTCGGGAATTCTGATAAATTCCGAGAAAATGCAAAAGTTCCTAAATTTTGAATTAATGCTCGATTTTCGGCCAGAATTTTCAACAGTTTTACAATAAAATTACGATTTTGACGGTGAAACCTTAAGGTGGAACTCGTATCTCGTTTTCTGTGTTTTTAAATCTGCGCACTCATTCTAGTTCATCTAAGAAGGACAATTCAACCAACCAAACCGAAAACAATTTTTGTTTTGAAACTTAAAGATGTCATATCTCCCCCAATTTTTGTCTTGAAACTTAAAGATGTCATATCTCCCCCAATTTTTGAGCTTTCTGGATCAAACTCGCGTCAAAATGCCCACATTTTTTCCGGCTATGCGCCAGATTCAATAACTCGATTTTGAATTTTTGGAAGATCAGGTCCAGGTCGCTTTCCATAGATTCTGTCAGAAGTAATTACGCGTTTCCTCAGTGTCACTACATGTTTAGACATGTTCAGCATCTTTTCTGGTATTTTAAGACCTGCATATGCAAACAGAAGTAATGATTCTGTATTATTTTTGTCGATTATAGGGATGTTGCTCTCCTTTGTAAGGATGACATTTGTTCGAATGAGGAGATAATCTATGAAACTGTTCTGCATGAATTGATCCATCAGTGGATCGGGAACCTCGTTACAGTGGAATGGTGGAATGAGCTATGGCTCCAAGAAGGCGTCACGTATTTCTTAGTGCTCATAATTAATGAAATCATAATGAAACAAGTAAGTACGTTTAAGGACGGCAGGCAAACCTTTTAAGTTACAATGTACGCTATTTTTTTGGGGACAAAAATCGAAGCAACATAAACATTTTAGACTTATTGGGAATTTTTCATAATTTGGACAGAATATACTCGCAAGATTTTAAGATAAAGTGTTTTTTAAATTTTTCACAAATGCGAGAAAATTGGATATGGAATGACGTAGTCAGGCCGATTTTGCTTAAATCTGTACAATTAAAAGATATTGACAGTGCAGCTCACAAAGTAAGTGTACCGGTTTGCGATGTTAGAGCCTTCTTCAAATGATGCTGGCTTCTCTACTTTGTATTTGAATCTCCCGTGTGGCTCACATACGAGGATCATTCCAAAAGTAAGTTTACCCCTTTCATATCTCGGAAACTGAAAAAGACAAATCAATTCGGTAAAAACAAGCTTCTTTCTTATATCCTCAACTTTCTATCAACACCAAGATTTAATTTTTGATCACTGGTTGCCGAGAAAATAAATTTTTTTCGATCGAAAAAAGAACAATTCCCGGCGAGTTCCGCCCACCTAGCGACTATCCACTCTCCCTTACAAGATTTGCTAACATTTTTTGAGCCTTAAAGATTCCCATGAAACTTCCAATCAGTGACCACACTCTCCCGTTGAAGGTTTTCTATAGTTACGCAGATCTGGTTTCATTTGTGTAGCAGTGTGTGGATTTATTTTAAGTTCGTGCTTCTTTTACAGGAATTCCCGGGATATAATAATAACAATAAATATGGCCAGATAATTGAACACGCGTTCAAAAACCGGAAGCCCGTTAGACCTAGGACGCTGATCAACTCAAACCAAATAGAAGCCTTGAGTATGACGAGTGGAGACCTCGTTTACCTCAAAGGTTATATTTAATCCATTTTTATTACAGTACTAAATTTCAGAGAAATTAACTGAGTGGGTCCGTCGCAACTCAGTGCCAGAGCGGAAAGAAGCTGAAGAAAACTGCTTATATATCACGATGATCACGTCCGAAAAATCTAAAGTCATCATTTTAAGTTGTGTGGCCGCACTTCAATTTTCATTTTTGGTCACGGTTGGTCCTACCATCCTATTGCGTCGATTTTTAATGAGTTTTGATGCTATGGACAAGTGATGGTTTCCAAAGAGGCCAGCTTGATTTAGATTTTGGAATTACCTACGACCCAGACTCTTCTACATCTAACGTGATAAAATTGCGAATTGAGAATGGGTCTGTTGCAACTGATACACCGCGAATAGACGTATAAAGAATTGAATGGCACGGAAATCACGATGGTCACATGAAATAAGTTTGAAACCCACTTCTCAGTGCGCAAGTAGCTTAGTTTAAAATTTCAAATTTACCGCATCCAGGGGCAGTTTTCTAGTCACTGGAACGAGCAAATAGCAACTTTAATATATATGTATACTTTCTTTTCCGCTAAACGCGGTCCAACTACACCTCCAAAAAAATTGGGAGATTTTCCATACGAACCTTGCACTAATTTGTTCTCTTAACGCACGGTCCAGGTGCAATGATGACCCGTATGATGTATCATTTTCTGGGCGAGAAGGTGTTCTTTGCCGCCCTGGCGCAATATCTCAGAGTTTATAAATTTCAAAGCGTGACGCAGGATCAGTTTCACTCTCTTATGACGGCGCATGGATACAAAGAAAACGTTATTCGACCGGACATAACAGTCAACCGGGTGATGGATAAATGGTTAAGTTTGCCTGGATATCCGGTTCTCAATGTGAGATTTAATGCGGATAAACAAGTATACACCGTACACCAGGTATGTATTGGATAGATTACTGAGAGAAATATCTTATATTTCCAATGTCAACTACGTATTTCTCACATAATGTATCTTAAGAGGGTTTTTTTCTGCAGGAAAAACGAGAAAACCAATGGTATCACTTGTAATCTTCTTGGTTTTGTATTAACGAAGGTAAGACTTTAAGGTCAGCCATTTAAGTTTCCACATTAATTGTGCTCCATCCCATTGATTCGCTTTACTGTGCGCCGCGGTAGGTTTCAGCACAATATTATTATTCAAAATAGAGGATACTTGAGGAGTACTAGTGAAGGCTAATTTTTTCCCTTCTTCGGTGGGAACACGTTTAGTGAGAACAACATACTTCCTCCCATCAGCCGTGAATATTGTTTTTGGTAAATTCATGATGAAATAAAACGAGAAAGTAAAAGTCCGGCAATTCACAAACACTCTTTTAAAGCACGGTTGCGTGGAAATCAGATGAAGGATGAGACCCACATTTCCATCATCTACCATCAAATTTTTGCAGGCCTGCAAAAATTTGATGGTAGATGCTTCGCATCAGGCACCATTTGATCGGAAATCGATGAAAAGAGCGTGTATCCAGGCCTTACCGCGAGTGAAACGATGAGTGCCCGGAGAGTCGAAACGCCTTCGCTTCCGTGCGTATGCAACACGCACATCCACATAGCTAGAATAGTTGCATCGCATCCAGGCGTTTTATTAATGGAAGTCGTTTCGTCTTCGTCCTTTGCGATACTTACAGAGGGTTTTTCGTTTGTCTCTCCAACACCTCCATTTCATTCCAGCGTTACCTGTTGCGCCGAAGTTGTAGAACATTGTTAATTTTTATCACGACATCGTCAATTTTCAAATGTATCGATTGTTTTTATGTACTGCAACATTGCCGGTCCTCAAGGTCGCCAGTACTGAGGCATCTGAGCATGATTTGATCCTGATGGATCCTGCACCACACGCCTCCCATTTTCTACGGAAAGATCGCAATTTAGACATACGCGCGTACCCTCGTTGATATGGCGGGGATCATACTTTAAGTCGTCTCTTCTCCGTGTCGTGGTGAATCTCCTTTCCTCCGAAGCGACAGGATTGTCCGCATGCAGACGGCGAAACTCACGAGCTCGTGGTGAAGATCGCAAACACACAAAACACGATGGAACACCAAATAGCATCGTAAAAAGTTGGTTAATATAAGTGAGATGAGGTAAAAACTTGAAAAATTGTCCGCGTTTTTTTTTTAATACTCGAACATAACAAAAAGAGGTAGAATAAAGTTAAATGAAACTATATAGACTTAGCCCGATAGAAAACAAAATAAGAATTCATGAACGAACGAAAAAACACCTTTTAAGAAAAAAAATCTGATGCGGCGGGGTAAGAAAGAGTAAGCAAAAACTAGCTCCAAAAAACACTTATCAAATCTAAGAAATATTCTTTTAGAAGGGGGGGGGTCTCTGGCAAAATCCCGAGGAAAATGCAAGAGGCTAATGAAAATCCTTCCTAATATCCACCTAATGGGGAGGGAAGGGGAGGAACATCGAAACCCTGAGAGCGTTAGTGTCAAAAAAACTCTATGCATAAAATATCGCAGATCACTCACTGAAGCACTTCGAAATGATATTAATTCTGAACATACGACAACAGAAAAGGAAGAAATTGCTTGGCTTATGAAATGATCTGATCATAGTTTCCACATTTCATTCTAAATTGCTAAAATTCAATTTTAAAAGCTCAAACTTTTTTCCATTTCGCCAATGAATATTGGCAAATCCAGAGCTTTGTCTACAAGTTGATCAAAAAATTCACGCCTTGGACACCCCCCCCTCCATTCCGTGGTTTCTTCCTCAATTCCAACGAGATTTGTAAAACATATTCTCAACTGTTTATTTTTTAGATCGTTCACTTTGTCTATCAAAAACGCTATTCCGCTATTGATTATAGCGCCTCTAGTCGCTTAGATTTTGATTGCGTCAACACTAGGATCCGGGTGGAGAGGCTGGAGGATTTCTTTAATCCTCTTCATATCATCAGGGACAACAGGCTTCAATGTTGCTTCTAATTCATGATCTGTTTCCCCGCCGCGGAGTGGGGTATCATAGTATGACAAAAGTCTGGATTGATTCATAAAATAATTGCCGTCTCTTACCGGCGCGACGTCTGTCTATTTCTGTAGGGTTGTTTCCGGATAGGTTCAACAGAGTCATCAGACTCATCGTCGTAGATATTTAAGTCTTTACATGGAATGATTTAAATTTTACGGATGTGAGAGAATTTTTTTTTAAATTCTTTCCTCCCAATTCTTCCCCGTCTCCTAGGTCAGCAGTGTTGACGAATTTCCCTCCTTTTCTACAAATATGGAAGTCTTGATCTGGGTCCTGAAGGTGGTCGGGAAACAATTTCTTCACTTCCTCCGTAACCTGATAGTAAGGGAAACGGGTATCAAATTTACGGAAATCTTGAACTGAATTTTGCCTCTTCAAACGTCAAATTTCTGAAGATGTTGCGCTTCGGGGTGAGCTCGACGGCATGAGAATCATTTGTTCAATTTCAGACTCACAGTTGGATTCGGCCCTCTGCCCTTTGGTTTTCCATTTTCCTTTCGATTGCTGTAATTATTTTGGCTGGAAACGTGATTCTCCTGCAACCTGTAATGCAAAACCAAAAATTACAATCCTAATGCTTCACCATCAATTTGACTTCATAACGACAACATAGTTCTTATGATAGTTTTCTCAGCTGGGTCATTCCGCATCAGTTTCATCAACCAAAAAAATTATAAAATGACACCCTCCGTTTCAGATTTGGCTTAATTTTTTTTTCTCACCAATAAAGCCTAGAGAAGAACTCCTGGAAAGATTTTGACCTCAAAATCCACTGGTTGAAGAGTTTGAAATATGCTGTTTTTGCTGTTTCTCGCTCCGATATTGAGCGTCCGATTCAGGAAAAAATTACTTACTCTCACTGTAATCGATATATTCGGTTGAAAGTACAAGCACATATGTAATGTACTGGAGATGTCAATTTCAGAGAGAATTATTTCACAATCGCTAAACGAGGATTTTGACGGATCGATTGATATGCCCTACGCCTCATTTTTGTCCAGTAGATTTAGAGAAATCGCCTAAAATGAAGGTTTATGAAAAAGTAAGTCAATTTTCTTCTAATAAACCAATGAAAAAGGCCTCTTGTATAATCAACAAAGCATAGCTGTGTATCTTGCAAAATAAATTAAAAAAAAACCTTAATCTAATTCTTATACTATAAACAAACCAACAGATATTAACTATAGACCTATACCCCATTATTTTTTGAATATTCCTATTGTTTAACCCCATTAAACTACCAAAGATAGCCGAGCTAACAATAACAAATAAAAATCTTGATCAATAGGTTCGTCTTGATCTACTGAAGAGGTTTTTAAAGTTTTTTTTTAAAGAAAAGATGACTGGCCCAAAAATTAGTAGCCATCACAGATTAACTCTTAATACATTACGAGCCATGGGGGTTTAAATCGGGAACAGTTCTGATTTTTCAGCGCCCCGCAGTGGAACGAACAAAATTGGAAGTGGCCAGACATGATATTTTTGACTAAAATTTCAAATTGTTATGTTTTTTTTTCGTCACAAATTCAATTTCAAAGGGTGTTGCTGAAAGGAGGTTTCACGAAAAAACGAATTTAACCACTCTTAAAGTCTTTTGTTTTATGCCTTCGAAAATGTAAGCTTTCAAAGTTTCGAGATTTTGTCCGACTTCTCGTATTGACTCGATCCATTGGACGTATTCATGCTAAATGGAACTATGAACAAGTGGAAAGATGGGGTGTGCTCGTTAGTTGAGGGCCATAAGAATGAATGGGGATTCTAAAGCGCCAGTGACGTCAGCGGCAACGAAGCAGTCTCCACTGTCGTTCTTGCTCGGCTTTAACTCATGAGCCCTGTCCACAACGCTCTTGTCACATGTCCCTGGCTCACGAGTTAGCTCTCAGTTCCTTTTGATTTAATGTCAAATCCCGCTTTTCCATTTTCTCAAAAGGAACTATATCCACTTTTACATTGTTTCTTATCCAACTCACGAGGAGCACACCCCATCTTTTCACTTGCGCATAGTTCTCCTTTTAGCATAAATACGTACCCTTGTGCGCCGCGTCATCCGCACGGAGAAAAAATTATGGTTATAATTACCTTATTAGTGGTGTTCAGCATGAGCTCTTAATTAGTAGTTGCCATAACCAACAATAGAGTTATTTTTACCATTAAAAGGTAATTTTACAACCACACACTTGTAAAGTTACAATTGCTGCAGTAAAAATATCACTATTATTGGTTATGATCATTACTAATTAAGAGCTCATATTTAACACCACTAATATGGTAATTAATACCATAGTTTTTTCTCAGTGTGGCTTGAATGTCATTCTTTGACGATTTCTCTGGACTCTATTACAGGGCGAATATGGTTGCCGCGAGTGCCAAGCGGAATTGCTGCCGGCGAGGCCAAGTCTAAAGGCTAAAACCCTTTGGCCAATTCCAATCTCCTACGCATCTGCGTCCAAACCCCATTTCAACGAGACAAAACCACGAATGTGGCTCCTCGGCAAAGGACCAATCACGGTACCAAACCTGAAATACGAGGGAAAACACGAATGGTTCATCTTTAATGTACAAGTCACAGGTGATGTTCTATTACGCGTAGCATGCGGTGGCGTGGCGTGCTTTGCGATGTATCGATTGTTATGCCATTTAAACCTTTGGAAAAGGATCGATAAACTGGGTGTTCGTAGCGAACGCCTTAATAATCGATTCTTTACCGTAGGTTTAAATGGCAGAACAATCGATACATCGCAATTCACGCCACGTCACCGGTAGCATGAGTATAGGAAGCGTGGCTATTTTTGAAGGTTGACAGCATTGGTTTTTTTCTCCATTTGAATGTATGTAAAACAATTAATTTTTAGTGAGGCAGCTTGCTTCACCTATATTCGATATTTTTAATGGACTTAAATGGAACTTAATAGATGGACTTAAATAGAACTGCCAGCTTGCAAAATCGCCACTGAAACCAGATACTATTCTAACGACTGGAGTATATCAACAATGAGAATAAACATCGGAACCGTTGTGGCATATCACCGATGAAACTCTCAAACCATGTGTCTCGGTTTGCAACGTTGCAGATTTCGTGTCATACTTCATTTATTAAATAAAAAACCACTCAACATCAATTATTAAAAACCTCCGTGATTTTTCTTCTTAATGCGGAAAAATTTCGTGAAAAATTCAAGGAATAATATTGTTTTTTTCTCCTTCAAAAAAATGAAAAAGGAGCAGAGATTCTAAAACACCGCAAGCGAAAAACGTGGATTCGGAGTTTCCTCGTGCTGATATGCAAGTGCTACAAAACAATTCCCTTGTATCTATTGCAATTCAGTGTTTGGTGCGAAAAACACCGCTGCCCCGGAAAATTGACGATCAGTTGCTTTTCATGTATCTTGGGAGACTTAAACGCGGAAGTAGAAAAAACATATTTTACCTGCCGGTTGTAGTCGAGTTTTATTTATCATCACTCCACGGCAATGGTAAGCGTCAACATTGCTTTTCAAGGTAGTCCAGTTAGTAAGTCTAAATGCAGAAACGGCAGTAGCGGCACAGGAAAACCGAGAAACCATGCGGGAAACCTACTTCAATATTAAGCTTCCATCGCCTTGCTAAGGCGCAGGGATACAACTATTTGAACTCTCCGGAACGCGTGAGGTATAACGCCTCAATTGAAGGCGTTTTCGAATCCTCTGTTTTTACATAACGAGATTTTCTGGTCCCATAACATTCGGAGCGCGGAAGAAAGGGATACGCGGTAGGAAACTTCAGATTCGGATTCAGCGACCCAAAAAACATAAAGTAAGCCAAAAAAATCGCTGTGTACCCGAAATATCAGGTAGCCTCATTTTTAGCTACCAGGCGCCTGGATTAGGGGCATTTTACGGGCAGATCGAACCTTCTAGGTTCGGACACCGAAGAATCCTGCATGCGGAGGTCGAGGTTTTCTTCGACATTTGTCCACCAGAAATAAGGTCGTATTGGTCCCGTAAGGGTCCTGAACCTTTCTGAAAGCTCAATATGGTTTACACTGTGATTATGGGAGATTTAGAGATCCTCAACACAGCATCATTAAAATAACAAAGTTTGGAAACCTCTAGTAAAATTTAGCAATACAACTTTGGAAACGGACCCTTCCGAGGAAACACGATGATTTATCATTACTAAGATTACAAGATACCGAAGTAGATATTTTGCGAGTTGTTTGAATTTCAAGGTAGCTTAAAATGGTTAAAATAATACCATTTCATCTTGTGTATTTCGTACTATTTGCAGTGGCAAATCATCTTAATCCCTTGCGAGGATCCTTTTTCAAAGTAATACTGCTGAATTTCACCCGAGGTTGGCGGAGATTTTCCCTTTCATAATGCTGTGTCAAGGATCTTGAACCTTAAGGTTGAGCGTCACTAAGTGTAAGTTTTAAAGTGCGACCAAACTCTTTTCCGTGATTTTTCTTAATTATTTCAGATGAGTTTAATTGAAAAAAGAACCAACAGGGCTTCTTCGTATAGATAAGTATTGTCACACGAGGATATTTCCCGGCCTACCTAGAAAATTAAAGGCGAAATATTTGTGGGCGTAAATATCATCGACAGAGCACATAGGGGAGAGTTCCATGGAGCCGCCTGCTGCCCTGCACTGTCCGTAGCGAGCATGGCGCCTTTCATTATTACACTTCATCTAGCTTTGAGAGTTCACTAATTACTTCACACGACCAGTGTAATTTTAAAAGTCAAAAATAAAAAAAAAAAATTCACAAGTTTCTCCGCCAGGGAGCTCTCGCCGCAAAAAAATCTGTCACCTCCCGCCTGTCGGGAGAGCCGCAGCGTGCGTGCTGCCAGCGCAAAACGCGCACTGACGCCTACAAACCTAAGGAGCTACCTCACGCATTGCGCAATGCTTGAAGTATCCCCCTAGGTTAGTAGGCGTCAGTGCGCGTTTCGAGCCGGCAGCACGCCGCGCCGCAGCGTGCCGTAAACTTGCCTACAATTTCTAGGTCTGGGCATTAAAATGTAGGCAATTTGACATCATATTCGAAATTAGCGACTCCAAAAACATCAGTTACGAAACTTTCGTGATCTTTCAGTTATAATAGGACTTGTTTCTTCCTATTCTTGAGTTTTGCACCGCGGGTAGCGGCGCTCATGAAATTCTTCCCTGTGTTCAATCGAACTATCATTCTTCCATTGTGTTAGTTATACTTCCACTGAATTCCCGGTTGAGAAATGCCACTTATGAACCTTGTGGCTTGTTCTAGGCATGTATCGGGTGAACTATTTCAGTGAGATGTGGGCCATACTGTGTGCAAGGTTAGTGGATCCCTTGACTATGAGAACAATCCACCCACTTAACCGATTTCAGTTGCTCAACGATATGGCAGCCCTAGCAAGGGCGGGACATTTAAATTACACAGTCCCTTTCTGTGCATACAGGTACCTCAAACATGAGGAGAACCAGATGGTTCTGAATGAAGGCCTTGATAACCTAAAGCAGCTTGATATTATCCTTCGAGGAATGCCAGCTTACACATATTTTAAGGTGAATGCATACAGTAGTTAGAACTGGTTGACAGAGCTTAAATACCATTATGTTTCCGACGAAATTTTTTTGACAAATAAAACTTAGTTTAACGTGTCAAGGCTGTGCCAGGTCGTAAAATGCGCATGTCCTATGAGTATGCAGCCTTTAAAAAGGTCTGCTTGTGGATCATTTTTTTTTTACAAGAAAACTAACTAAAGTATGTCTTGGAGATTTTCTGCGAGTCATTAAATCTCACGTAGAAAATGATTCTCACTGCGGGAAGTTCGGAAGTCAACACTGTCAACAAGTATTTGCAACGCAGATAAAATGGAAATCAGATCATATAATCTGTGTCATCATTAATGTCATTGTCATTTAACCCATGTAAATTGTAAACTCTCCAGACTTCTGTGTTGTGAATTTCTGTTTTTTTTCCTATAGTGAAATCTTGAAGATGAAATATGTTGCGTCATTCTTACTTCGTCTGCATCCATTCTGTCCTTGGAGAGGTTTGCAACTGTTTTTATCCTATTTGCCTCTTCTCTCAACTTTTTTTTTTACCTTCAGAGTTACATGCATGAGATACTGCTACCACAAACTCGAGGAATTCCATCTATAAAAGATTCACTGAATGATGCTGATTCGGTGACCAGAATCTCTAAAATGATGCAGCTTGACAACTATTACGATATCGGTTCCTACAAGGGCGAGTCCCTAGGGATTTTCTCAAGATGGTTAGTATATTTTATATTCTTTGGGTGGGTTCACCAAAGTGGTTCGATAACCAAAGTGCGAAACCATGGATCTCTATCGCGGTCTTTCTTCCCCTCCTACAATTGGACTGAGTTAAGCAGAAAGGAACCAACCCACATTTTGGAAAAAATTGAGTTATGAGTGGTTTTGAACTCAACCACCGCTCTACTATCTATCGCCAAAAATTCAAAGTTTTTGTTGGAGCAAATTCTGCAGAAATTGAACTTAAAGTTTATCTTTTACATTGAGTCTTATGCAGGAGCTAAACTTTAAACCTATTTTTCTCGGTTCGATCCCCATGTGGCTTGGTTCCTTTCTGTTTAACTCCGTCCAATTTTTCTAAGAGAAAAAAATCTACTTTTAAGCTTGCTTTCATTTGAAAGACAGCAAATTTTCTCTTGGATGCACGGTACTTTTGAAATTTTCACGACGAATTCAGCTTCCTGAAAATATTACTTGGAATGCATTGCAGTAAAGAGCTACTTTTTCTGGCCCATAAAATCTTATAAGTGCACAGAAGAACTAGTGAAACGCTCATCATCTCTAAAATAAGCCAGAAATAGTATTTTTTTTATCGCAAAATGTGGTCCACGGTATTTACAAAGCACACTGAAATATTGAGTAACTGAAAATACTCGGTGCACACACTGCGTCAGAACCCATGCATGGTACACGATTACATTTTGCAATTGAGAACTACTATTTCTAACTCAGTCCACAAACAAAGAATGTGCCATCAGCTTTTCTATACAGATTAGTGCTACTGAAGTTGAACAAAAAATAATAATTCTCATTGCAAAATGTAGTCCAATGGGCTTTCAGTTTTGAACACGATTTTCTCAAGTTACATCATCTGACCCCACTNGGGGGGGGGGGGGGGGGGGGGGGCAGAAAGTTTCTTTAGCAAATTTCCTCACTTGCGCCTGGAGGCACAAGGCTTTCCTCAGTTCAATATCATTATTACACTTTATGTGTTAATAGGCTCAATAAAAATGATTCGGCTTCTTCAGATGAAATGCCACCGGTGATTCTGGAAGGTGCTCTCTGCTCCGCCATCCGCGCAGGAGATTTAAACGAGTGGGACTCCCTCTGGGAAAAGTTTATCGATCCTGACAAGGAAATTGCCTCGAAAGGAACTCTGATTCTCTCGGCATTCAGCTGCTCTCGAAAGGTATACTATTAAAGTACGAATTGAACAGTCTAGGGTGTTTAGAAAAAGCGCCGAAAAAAAGAAAGTAGTGGTATAGTATAGAATTTGAGTACGACTAAAAAACCTAAAAAAAAACTTTTAATAAATTGAAAAGTTGGCTGTAAAATAATGCTCTAGTAAAATCATCCAAATACTTTATGCCCACTACATGATTAAAATTGATCGAAAATTGCGATTAAGATGGTCATCCGGGGAAAATGACAAAGGGGCATCATGTATTGTACGTTCTTTTTCGACAAGCCAAATAGGTTTTATGATTTATAGCGTTTTCTTTTTTACTTTTTTCGATGGAATACTGGTGTAAAAAAACCTGAATATTCCGCGCCTCAGATGGTCACTCAGGGAAAATGGTGAAAGGGCATGGATTTTTCGCCCTTTTTTGATTCGTCATTATGTCCCATTATTGATACATTAAAATAAAATTTGTTGATGTACTATTCTGCCATGGTAAGGAAACACGCCTTTGGAACGCTCGAAACTTTAGACGTTGCCAAGTTTCCCTTGGTAAAACACGAAGTTCTTGGCTAACTTATGATCATTTTTCTTCGAATTTTTCAGATACTTATGTTCGAAATTTCACATGAAGTTCTTGAAAATACCAAGGAAAAATATTCGTAAACTATCCTCAAGAATAACCGTTTTATCGGAGGCAGTTTAGCAACTCGAGAATGCTCATACTGCGTTTTTCCCTAGCACGGTTGTATTTGCAATAGTGGATGTGTGATACTAACTTCATTGCGAACCTCATAGCCCACTCTGCTAAAGCTGAACTTTAAAATGAAAACAAACGCACGGGAACTTTGTTCATCTTCTCTTCCAGAAAGAAATCCTGGAGCGGTACTTGGAGGGAATGTTAGAAAATCTTCGACTCCGGAAATTGGAACTCCCAGCGGAGACGTTCACCGCAATTTTCGAATCCGTCGCGACCCGCAGCGACGCGGGTTTCAGCGTGGCCTGGAACTTCCTGAAACGGAAAGTTGCGGACATTCACGCGTTAGTGGAAGACGCAAATTCCGAAATGGGCAAGTACGTGACGGCGGTGGCGAAGCAAATGAAATGGGTGACGGAATACGATGACGTGAGGACGTTCGCCGAAGAAAACGAGCGGTATTTGCAGCGCTCGAGGCCGGAAATCGTGGCAGCACTCAAGTCGATAGAGGATAATAATAAATGGTTTGAAGAGGTTTACGGTGAGGTCTCCAACATTCTCGAGGCCTCGGTTGGTTAAAGAAATAAGAGCACATGAGCATGTTGACATTGCAATAGGATGTATTTCTATCAAACGGAACTATGTGCATTATGATGTGAGCCCTGTTATGTATGTATTCTTATGGGTCTCATGGCTCATGTCTTAATGCACATAGTTCCGTTTGGTAGAAATACGTCCAATAAGTCACCAGACAAGGTCTGAACTACGGGAGAAAACCATTTCGACGGTGCAAGTCGGCAATCACATAACTCGGTTTGCGACGTCGCAGACTTCCTGTCATACTTTATTTTTTAAACGGGAAACCACTCAACGGCAATTCTTTAAAACTGCCATGATTTTCCTTCATTATGTGAAGAAAATTCTGCAAAACCTCAAGGAATGATGTCGATTAGTTCTCCTCCAAAAAAATAACATCGAAGCAGCGGAGATTTTCAGACACCGCAAACGAGTTATGTGATTGCCGACTTGCACCGTCGATTTGTTTTCTCCCGAAAACAAACTGTTTTCAGGATTTTACGTAGAAAACGATTCACGCAACGGGAAGTTCGGATATCAGGTCCAACACGAGATACTAACGAAAATTTTCAACATAGATGAAATGGAAGTTAGATTATAAAAATGACGTCATATATATTTTTTCCTCAATGCGCTGAGTTCGCAGTATTTTTCATAATTTTTTTTTGGCTTGGGAAATTGGTTGCGTACTGGTGCGCATTAGAATTCAAAAAATTTATTTCTGATTCTAATTTTAATTTTTGGAATTTCTTGGCTTTGTTTCCCCGCGGAATGGTGTGGACCTAGCACCATTTCTCCACCTTGTTACATACAGTTCGGGCCACATCTTAGAGATTTATATGGAGGTGAGAAATATGGGGTGTGCTCGTTAGGTCTCTGGCCGTAAGAGTGAATGAGAATAATAAAGCGTTAGTGACGTCGCGGCAATGATCGAGCTTTGGCGCGAGGAGGAGATCGTCGTCGGGGCTCTTCAACTCATGAGCCCTGTCCACAACGCTCTCGCGTGCCATGCCTGCGGCTCATGAATCCCGCATTCAGCTGCCACATAGTTCTCTTTGCTCAATTTAAAATCCCGCTTTTCCAATTATTCAAAAGGAATCACACCCACTCACCACATTGTTTCTCATCCAGCTTTCTGGAGCACACCCCATATTTCTCGCCTGCACATAAATCTATTTGATAGAAATACGTCCAATTGAGGTGTGAGTCTTTCAAGCCATAATTTGTATGAAATTTTCAGCCAAAATGAGCTGTAATGGTTCAAGTACTTTTACAAAATAAATCAGAAGTTACTTTTCTCATCGATGCCAATTAGATTTTTCAATAAACCCCCATACACTTCATTACTCAAAAAATTCAACCTCATCTATTCCAGAACCTGAGATCATCACTCATACGTTAACCAAAAATTAACCAAGATCGTCTGGCTGTAGTAATTCAAATCCAACGCATAAAAAACGTTACTTCTTGCATATAAAGTAATTTCTGCACCATGAGTTTCTTTCGGGATCAAAGATTTATCTGTTCAGATATCAGGAAATATAAATCGACGCTTAATTTGAACGAACTCTCAGGTTCTTTTGACCGCATGTAAATGGAGAAATATCACAATTTCCAACTTGTGAAAAGCGTCAATACCCGGATTATTTGTGTCATCCAGTTTACTGACCCCAAGACATCACCTACCTTTACCGCAACATTGCCGTAATTTGTCTCGGAATTGTTCCGTCATAGGGGTCGGGTTAACGACCAAGCAACTAGCGTGCAGTTTATTAAAAATCTGTCGACAATTTATTGGACAGCCTCGATCAATAAAATCACTGCCAAGGTAGATCTTCATCGTTCAAGATAAATCGATGAGGAGGAATTTGATATTATTCATCGATGAACCATCCGCAAGAGTCCGAGTGACTATTCGAAGCTGAACCGTTGGAGCTTCGATCTAATACTGATGTCACGTGCATCAGAGGTGTATGGTTCATTTCTGTGAGTTTGATCGATCAGGTGAGGTTTTTCACATTCTTAGATTATTACATGTGTAGAGTATCTGATATCGGAGGCAAGTGCTGAAATCAAGCTTTGCACCAAATTTCCAGAGCAAACATAGTACATTCTTAAAAACTCTGAGGTGATTAATGTATCTTACCGCAATTTTTTGAGGATATTTATTATTGAATTTTGATCGAATTACTCAAGATGTTTATATTTTAATATACACAATATATTATGTATATCCTTAATAATTTACTCTGGTCTAAGAATTCATTGTCATTTTATAAAGCACTTCGATACGTTTTGGTATGTTAGAAAAATAGGTTTATATCAAATAAAAATTCCAACTCTGTGTAAAATAAATTTGACTGTTTTATTTGGAAAATACGCTAACAGTGTGTGATTTGAAAAAAAAAAAAAACTATTGTTTCTTTTAAAAAGTATGGGAAAAAATCTAATTCATCTTACAAACTCAGGTAGGTGTCAACGAACAAGTTTAATTATCCGTAGCATCTGAAATAGATTTTTCGGATCCGTAGTAATTTTAGTGTACTCGGCCAACATAGTTCTTTTTCTGAGGTGAAACAAAGGCAAATCAGCTATTCTCAAATTTAACCAATTTATTAACAATTTTAGGCAAATTAATTCATTTACAAGAGAACGTTTGTTCGGATTCTTTGGAAAATTTGAGGGATTTTGCTTCGTACTATGCAGAAAATTCGCTGAAATTTGCACAGAAATACCTACAACTGTTTTCATGCAAAGAATTAAATTACCGAATTAAATTTTGCCATAGCTGATGTGACTTGGTTCTTTTCTATTCAACGCGGTCCATTTGCCGTTGCTTATTTGCTATAACATAAATCAGTCATTGGATTAAGTAAGAACCTATCTACTTGAAGGAAACGATAGCATATACGTGTCTCTAAAATGAGCCAGAAGTAGTAGTTTCGTATTTTAAAGTAAATTCAAATTGCTCTGAGAAATGAACCCAGCTGCTCCTATACAGCTGGATGCTTTTCAAAGCCTACGCCAATATCTCTACCTACACTACCTACAGGGTGATGCAAAAGTTCAGACCCCCCTCTTTAACTTTTGAACGGTTGAACTTAAGGATTCAACACCGAAAAAAGTGAAGTTGATTTAACATTCTGGATGTAAAAAAGTGTGCGAGAACTTATGAAATACTAAATTACCCGCTACAGCATTATTTTAGCAATGCCAAGATGTGAATCTAACTGCTGTGGCGGGTAATTCAGCATTTTATAAGTTCTCGCACCCTTTTTTTTTTACATCCAGAACTTTACTTTTTTTTCGGTGAATTTTGAGGAGTACTGACCGAGCAAAAAAACAGTAAAAACAATTGTTATTGATCGAATAATGAACACATTTCAAAACTCAAAATACAACCGTTTAATAGTTAATAAAGAAGGGTGCCCGAGTTTTGGATCGTCCACTAGTTGGACTGCATTCTACAAGTTGGAACTATAAATCCTGGCTCATCTGAAAAAAGACGTATGTGCATAGGGAAACTAATGGCACATACGTTGTTTTTAAACCGGGCCAGAATTTATAGTTCCAAATTGCAAAATGTAGTCCAGTTAGCGAGACTACGATTTCTGGGAACAAAACGAAGTCATACTGAGAAATTCTGTCCTGTCCAAAATTGAATGCACTCATCAAAAAAGTGGATTCATTTCAGGTTTTAGAAATAAAGAAAGAAAACAGAAAGTTATGGACCAGATCATCCTCTATATGTTTTTGGGCTGGGTGCTGAGCCAAAGCACCACATACATTGTTGCCACATCGTTGCCTTCGTATCGACTCGACGGGAAAGTGGTGCCGCATCACTACAATTTGGAGATCTACACGAACTTAGATGGAAGTGACCAAAACCAGGCTCGTGATTTCAATTTTTGGGGAACCGTGCGAATTGAGGTGGGTAATGTGTGGTTGGTTGGTAGATACGTTTATTTGGTTTTATTTGGTGCTTTTAACATCTGGTGTGACGCAACAGTGAAAAATGTGGATGAACGTGAAAATGCAAACTGAACAATACAGCAAAAAAAAGAAACTGGTTCGAAGCAGGAACAAATTTATTATTCCTCAGCGATACCGCACAATTTCTAATGCCTTGTTCAAGAACAGCAGGTCAAAATTTTAAATCATAATTTTCATTGTCATTGCTGTTAAGTGTCTGAAGTGAATCTTCCCTATGACTGTGTCAACCGCGCACCGTCGAAAAATTATCTTAAATGCTCCGTTTTTGCAACACGAATTGCTCCATACAGCAAAAAAAAAAAAACAATTCTGAGGAAAATAAAGTCGATTTTTGTTTGCAGGACCGATTGCTTTCCACTATCTATTCTTAAAAAGAGCAGGTCAACGTTTTAAGTTATTTTGCGTTATGTATTAATAATTAGCGTTTGAAGTAGATAGTTCCGAAGGCAATGCTAACCGCGCCGTCGGGTTTTTTTTTTTTTTTTTTTTTTTTTTTTTTAATTCTCCGATTTTCGTCCCCAAAGTTGGAACAGGTTTTCAACGGTCTATTTTCTTAAAATTTTCCGGCGTTCTTTGGCTCAAATTATGCAGAACTAACATCTCTGAGCTGAATTGTTATCTCATATATTTATCCCACCACAAGGCACATCTGCCTTGCTGCGTCACATAGCTCGAATCTTTTTTATATAAATGGGGAGGCTCCAAGAGTGTATTTTGAACAAACTTGCAATATGTCTCTTAAAATATTATTATATGATATTTTGAGAGAGTTAAACAGAAAGGGGTGGAGTCTCGTATCGGAAAATGGAGGAAAATGAGTCTAAAGTATTTTCAAGTTTAAATAAATAACCAAGCCACGCATTTTCTCGCATCAATTCAAATTCGTGAAAAACACTTTGAATGTAAAAATGTTTGTTTTAAACCTTCAAACTCTCTTTTTCTTAGTTTGATCTGGGCGTGACTTGATTCCTTCTGTTAATTTTATATTTTAATCAGGTTTTAATTAACTTTCTTCAATCTCCGCATGTAGTTCATAGTGACTCTTAGATTCACTCTACTCTCCAGCTTAAAGGCGGTATATTTTTGTACTGAAATTCAATTGGTTTCCGTGTATGTCATACCCGCTGTAATGTTGTTTGCTCAGGTTTTGTGCAAAGAAGACACAAACAGAATCGTAGTCCACTCTAGCAATCTGACTATTGACAAGGAATTTGTGACTTTGAATGAGCGAAGGGGTATAGAATTGGCTAAAGGCATCAACATTACCAACCATTCGTTCAACCCAGAGCACGAGTTCTACATTGTAGAAACCGAGAACCAGATAGAGGCCGGCAAAAACTACTCATTTTTTGTCCCTTTCTATGGTAAATTACGTGAACACCAAAATGGATTCGCCAAGGCGTATTATCAAGATTCAAATCATGGCAGAAGGTGAGTAAAATCAAATTCATTGTCAATAGAATTTTCCCGAGTTATGCCATTACAAATTAAGAGATTGGTCTCGTCAATTAATCGGGATTAAGAGGTAAACAATGAACATGGATAAAAATGTAAACCGGAAATATACTAGATTCTTTCATGGACCATTTCATAATTTGGACACTGCTTTTTGAGAAGTAACCAAGTGCTTTTAGATGTTGCCAAAATGTATTGAAATATTCAATTGATTCAAAAAGAACGGTTTTGTCATTTTTTTAAAACAAATTGTTTTACAATTCTACACTGCATGCGACCGATTCCCTAAGATTTTCAAGTAAATTGGCAGCATCATTCTCTTAAAAGATTCAACAAAAAAGTCCAAGAAATTTGGAACCAAATGATATTCCTAGGTTCTCTTTTCTAGAGATACTATCCATTTTTTCAACTAAAATACCGCAAAACCGGAGAGATTCTTCATTGAGATTTTACTCAGACCATTTTAAACTTTTAATAATTTTCTAAAATCAACTCGTAAAGAAGATATGAAGGCAGTTGTCTGCAGTAGTTTCGTATTCGATTCATTCCCAAGTAACCAGTAAGGCACATCAAATCTATTCGTCAAACATTTCGGAAGATTCGTCCTCTTAAATTAGATATACGAATTGAGTGGTTTTTAGAGTCGGAATAGTTGCTTTTATAGAAATTTGCCCGGTTCACTTGATCATTTTTACAAGTTAACGATTTCTTAATACATCTTGTACGTGGGCAAAATGTTATATAAAAGTTGAAAGAAAAAATTAAAATTTAATACAGTTAAAATCGATTGAAATGTTTCATTCTTTTCTTCAGACCTTTAGCATTCACTCAGTTTGAGGCGACGTACGCCAGAAGAGCATTTCCTTGTTTTGATGAGCCCGCAATGAAAGCCACCTTCAAAATTTATCTTGCTCATCATAAAAAATACACCGCTCTGAGTAACATGCCGATAAAGGAAACGACTTCAGTGTAAGTTCCCATTTTCAATCCGTAGAATCTTGTACTTATGGAAAATTTTGTATTCATCACACTTTTTGTATTTTTTAAATGGGCCGCCCACGGTGAAAAAAGTATTAGTGTGTGAAGGAACTTTTTGAAGGATTCTCGGCTGGTCGGGTCAAAATATCTGAATTTTAGTTTTTAATGGAAAATACCACATATACGGAGCAAAAAACTTCGGTTCCTATGGACGACTGAAGTTTTCAGTTACGGTAACCGAACTTCATTTCGGGAAACCGAAGTTTTTGTTAATTTAACTCCGACGCGTATTTTTATGAAATACTTCGAATATTTGAACTGAAGTTTGGCTCTTATGACAGGAAACTTCAGTTATCTAGACTAAATCTTAAGTTTTCCATATAAACTGAAGTTCAGTCCATGCAGGCGAAATTTTTTTCTCTGTGCAGTATCTTAAAGAAGCAGTATAGCTGGTAGGATGTAAAGTTCTTTCACAATTCCTCAATAAGCCACGAGAGAGCAAGAAATATAATTATATTTTAATTCCATGCTTCAACCGTTTCATTGCTTCAGGGTGGCATGAAGCGTAAGAGAGAAATGAAAGATGGGAACTTTCAATCAAATATTTCATGAAATTTCACGAGGCTGTAAAATATTTCATATTTTTCAGGGGCTTGAGTATGCAACCCGCATAGAAGAAAGTCACAATTGCGAAACATGGAAAAACCCGGTATTTTTCAATACGTCTCGTAAACTTTTGAAATTTCATGAAATATTTCACGTAAAATTTCAAGATTTTATTATTCATGGAATTTTGCTACCCTGTATTGCTTTCACTGACCAATTCAAGAATAAAATCTTAGCCACAATTTTCACAGAGTGGAAAGGCCAGGCTGGGTACGTGACCATTTTGCCACGTCCGTCTCCATGTCAACTTACCTGGTTGCGTTCTTCATATCCGATTTCACCTTCGACGAAATCACGCTGAGCAAATCCGGAGTTGAGTTCCGTATTTGGGCGCCAAAAGAACGCATCCGAGAAACCGAATTCGCAGAGAGGTACAGCCCCAAGGTCCTTGATTTTTTCGAAAAATATTTCGAAATTAAGTACCCGCTGCCTAAGGTGGACATGGTACCTGTTCCTAGAGCATATTACCCAACTGGTGCCATGGAAAACTGGGGACTTATAACATACGGGTAAGTTTGTATTTTTCTTGACACAAACTTAAAATCAATTAATTTTTTTTTCTATCTCATACACGCGGTGATGACATTAAGCGGCGCACGTAGGGAGCCTGAGAGAAGAGATTTTAAAAAAAAATGGAACTTCGCTATACAACGTCGCTACAACGTGGCAATTGTTAAAATTTGCAAGTTTCGTCGGCAGAAAGTGCAGTTAGGAGCCACGCAGATTCGTTGGGCTGAATTGAATTGTTGCACCGCGTTTTTTTATCATTTTTGGGAGACTTTTTTTCAAGCGATATTGAGCAATTTCCTCACTATGGAAGAGTTTCGTGACCGCAAATCGCAATCAACATTCTTTGTAAATTCAAGTTTTATCAGAAAATGACTCTACAGCACAATGACACTTCAATGATGTTCCTAAAATATTTTTGAAAATGAATAAAATGGTTGAAATGCGCTTTTCTTTAAATAGGGGAATAATCAAAACGTCTCAAAAACTTTGAAACTTCTGAGGAGATAAGTTATGGTGACATAATCAGTTGTTAAAATATTTTTAAAAAAACATTTTCTGTCATACCAAAAACACCTCTAGCAATTTACGCAAGAGCATTTTTGCAAATTTTGTAAAAATAATTTTGGAATATTTTTTTTATATTTGCAAACAAGTTTTGTTGTCGTTGGTGGTTTTTTTTAACAATAAATATTAAAAATTATTCATTTTTTAACACACGAAACCAAGTATGAAAACAATTTCTTGACATCCGAAAAGAGGGTCTCCAGAACTGATGGTGGCCGAATTATTTTATAAATTAGCTTTAAATGATTTTAAAAACATTTCTTAAAAAAATGCGTCTCTTATATTAAAAAATACAACTTTTTGTATCAAACTTGGTTTCGTGTACTATCGATCCGCGTTGTCCTATCCAACTACTCATTCATTTTGCGGGTTTTCAGTGATGATAACCTTCTCATTGATGCAAATACATCGCATCTCAATCGACTACAGAGTGTTGCAAGGATCATTGCCCACGAACTTGCTCATCAGTGGTGTGGGAACTTGGTCACGATGGAATGGTGGAATCAATTATGGCTCAACGAAGGATTCGCCACATATTTTGCGCTTGTTGCAACGGACGCGGTTAGTAATAAAAACATTTAGAGTAGAATAGAAATTATACGAGTACTTTATTCTACCCTTACGGGGTTATAAAGAGTTGAAGAGTCAATGGGAAACTCAGTTTAATGTGAAGGTATAAGTACATCAATCTCGCATCCGTGACCGGTTAGTGGGTCAGGAGGTGACGGTGTTCAATAGTAAAAACCTCGAGCGGCGCACAGTGGATCGAGTCAATGAAAGAGGTCGGACACGAAATTTTCGACTGAAAATGCAAATTTTGGTGTTTTTTTCGTCACATATTTTACATTTGGACGTATTTCTGTCAAACGGAACTAAGCGCCAATTTGAGTTCCTTTTGAGGAATTTAGAATCCCGGATAGCGCGTTCTGTCAAACGGACCTAAGCGCCATGGAAATGCATTGCGAGTATAGGACGGAATGAGCCCGACGCCCGGTTCCGCCGCCAATCCAAGCCCCCCTCTACCTCCCTCCTCCGATGGTGTTTAGTTCCGTTTGACAGAAATACGTCCATTTCAAGGGAGTCTTTTTGAGGAAAATTTCACAAGGAAACCAATGAAACCACTTTTAGAACTTGAAAGAAATCGCCATGAAACTTAGTGGATGCACTTCTAAGGATATGAGGACGGGAAAAGGGGGCATACGCATTACGCGTATTCAATTGTATTCAATGTATGTATGATGTGTTCAAAATTATAAACAAGCGGGGAAATTTCTAATTCTGTCGTATTAGAAAAGCGCTCAGGTGTTAGTAAATGTATTTAATGAAGAAATGACGTATAAACTCCGTCGACTTGGCTTAGAAATGGAAATAAAACATCAGCTGATAGCAAACAAAGGTTACCAAGGAAACCGTAAACGCGTATTTTTGTTTCCAAAAAATGAGCTCACCGTTGAGCTCATCAGGCGCGTTTTTTTTAGGCTTCATTTGAGTTCAACGATCAATTTCGATAAGAATTACTCTACCGCTAAGAAATTTTCTTATAGACAAACGATCGAAACTACCTGCGCGCATTACGTTAAAAGCATAAAATACAGTTTTCACAGCTTTATTTATTTTAAAAATGGACCCCCCCCCCCAAAAGCCTACACATCGATGAGCTGGTGCACCATTTAAACGCATTAGCACTAGTATACTAGTACTCAGAGGCAAGTCGAAATCAAAAAGCGCTGCCTATCGGCTGAGCGCTTAAAAATGCATACAGGTCAGTGAGGCAATGCACATGACATGCCTTTAATTTAGATAGCATACATTCCGCAACTGTGCAAGCCCCTTGTGCCCGTCAGCACCCCTGGCCGCTGAGCGCTAATCCGGTCCTGGGTGTGTTTACTTTTCCTGTCTTAATATACTCTTTTCATTCGCAGATAAAACCAGAGTGGAATTTTGCTGAAGAATATTTTGCAGATTGGCTCCAAATAGTATGGGCCACTCCGGAACCCGTTTCAGTCTTAAGTGTCCAACACCCAAATGAAATTCAGGCATTGTTTAGCATCGCTCGCTACCAAAAAGGTTTTCATACACACATCGTTCATCGTTCACGTTTCATCGTTGGTACATCAATTGGACGTATTTATGCTAAAAGGAACTGCGTCTCACGTAAACCCTATGCACATAGTTCCTTTTGGCATAAATACGTCTAATTGTGGGAAGAGGCTTATGATCACATCCCACAAGAAAGAGATGACGGATTAGAGACTTTTTGCTATGCTTTCTTCATTTTTCATTGTTGAATCCCAGTTTTTGAATGCCAAATACTGCTTATGCAATTCTGCATCTGATAGCTTTACTAGCACCATCATGCTACGTTATTCCCTAGATTTGTTTTAGCACTTGATTACATTGTAGACAATTTTACTCATTTGAGGAATCGAGTAAATACGAGTGTTAAAAAGCTCCAAAAAGGAGGGTCACTTCAATCAGTAGCCAGGCGCAAAAACACAACACTAAAGCAATACAATTTAACTTGAATACATTGTTGACGATTTTTCTCATCTGAGAAATCAAGTATATGCTGGCATTAACAAGCCCAGATACAAGGGGCCCTTCCTATATTGGACCACGTCAAACAGAAATGAGCCAAGCCACGTCAGCTGTTGCCAAATTTAATCGGGCAAGTTAATTTCTTCCATGAAAACAGGTGTGCGGATTTTCGTGCAAATGGCAGTGGATTTTCTCCATAGTACGAAGCAAATTCCTTGAAATTTTCAAAGGAATCCACACGAACGCTCTTTCGTAAAAAATTAAATTGCCTCGTTTTTGGCTTGGTTCCTTTCTGTTAAACGCGGTCCAATTAGTAGATACGCAACATACACAACACTGCGATACAGTAACAATGATTTAACTTGAACCCGTTGCAGACGATTTTACTCATCTTTCCTAGTGAAAGTGAGTCAGCCTGACGTCAGGCTAGGTTTCATAAACTACCCTGAATTAGTCTAACTCAGGGTAGTTTATGAAAAAAAGCCTGACGTCAAGCTGATATACTTTTACTAGGGTTAGGAATCAAGAGGGTAGGAGTATAAACCAGTTTAGATACAAGAGACCCCTTCAATCAGTAGATAGGCAGCATACACAACACTGCGATGCAGTAGCAATAATTGAGGGGCTTGGAGGACAAAGCGCATAAATGCAGTTTTTGCTATTTTAAGAAATACGTGTTTAAAGTTTCAAAATTACATGGAGGCCAATGGCAGAGAGAAAGTGTAAACTCACTTTTTAATGCTTTAAAGTTGGAATGTAGTCATTAATTTTTCACAGAATGTACTTTCAAACTAGTTTTAATCGAGTACTTGAATATCTAACTTCTTTCAAATAGTGGAAAACAAAGAGAATGTAAAAGCAGCCCGAAACAGAAACGACAATCGAAAACACAGGAAAATGCGGAAACAAGGCTAAAATACAAAATACAAAGGCTATTCTTTCAAAAACTGCACTTATGCGCCTTGCCCTCCAAGCCCCTCAATTTAACTTGAATCGTAATTTATTTGCAACTCGTGCTATTTGGGCAATATGAATAAGAAACTTCGAGTTTTGACTGATATTAACACATTTTTATTTATTTATTCATTTTTGCAAACATACCAAGTTTTCATATGTGTACTGCCATGCTAAGGAAAAAGCCGTATGAACATTTGAGAGTTGCCAAATTTCCCTTGATAAAACATGTATTTTTGACAACATTCATGCACATTTCCCTTTGACATTTTCAAATATTTTATTTTGAATTGCGTACAAAATTGTCTGAAAAGTTTGAAAAGAAAAATATTCACAATTTTCCCAGTAAATTCAATTTTTATCGAAGGAAACTTGGCAACGTCTGAAGGCTCATACGGCGTTCTTCCTTAGCACGGCAGTGTAGTTGATTCACACAACATGTGATCTAGATTTATTCGTAACTTGTGCTATTTGGGCAATATTTGTATAAGAAATTTCGAGTTGCGACTGACATTAACAAATTTTTATTAATTTATTTTATTTTTGCAAACATACAAAGTTCTCAAATGTGTAGTTGAACCATTCAATATGCTCTTTCTCATACTTCGACGCAGGAATTTACATGCTCCGTATGATGAATCATTTTCTGGGCAAGGAGCTTCGAGCCGGTCTAATCCATTACATGAAGAGACACCAATATGGAAGCGTGATGCAGGATAACTTGTGGACAGCCCTGACCGAGGTAGCACATGAGCATAGTGTTTTGGATCCGAAAACTTCCGTCAAAGCGATCATGGACCCGTGGATCTCTCAAACCGGGTACCCGGTGCTTGACGTTAAAAAGAACTCCGATGGGCTCATTACAGTCTCACAGGTAAGAAATTATGCACAAATTCAGAATTTTCTTGACAATTTTTCTAGACTGGAGACAAAAATATACAGGGTCTTTACTTTGAGACCGTAGAAGGATCACTAGACTTAGATAGCTAGGTTCAGATTTGAACGTTATAAGACATGTTACTAATTAATCACCATCGCAATAAGAATTCAGTAAGTATATGAAAAAGCAAGACTCTAATCCATTTTCAATATATGAACAGCAGGCCAACTTTTAAGACTGGTAGCGGGCTGATAGTTGAAATCGATAGACAAAGCTATAGACAAAGACGACAAAATGGATATGGAGGGATCTTATCGGTGGAAGCGAGTGGTCGCAATGTACTTACAAAGGAGGTAGGTAATAGACTAACTAACGGCAACCCACGAGGGACCCTATAGTTAGTCCATCATTTATCCCCTTAGTCTATAAGAACCACCCGTTCAACCGATAGGATCGCTCCATACTCTCTATGTCTCCTTTGTCTCTAGCTTTGTCGATCGATTTCAAAAATCAACTGGTAGGCAAACAAAACAATAGGCGAAGAAGACAAAGGAAAAATTGAGCGATCCGGTTGGTTGTAAAGAGTGATCTGTAGGTGGAAAATGATGAACGAACTATGAGGTCTCTCGTAGGTTACAGTAAGTAAGATAGGATCGCTACACTTTCTCTTCGTCTGCTTTGTATACCGTTTTGTCTATCATGTTCAATATTGCAGTAATTTTCACTAAAAGTGTCTAAGCGTGCTCAAATTATTTCTTAAATAACATGTGCTCTCAACGCGTCGGTTTAAGACTAGTAACGAATACTTACTCATGTAAATAAACAAAGGACAATTATATTAGTCAGATATTTGTAATTTTTTAATCGTTTTAAACGACAGTACTCCTTACAGAGTAGGTAAAAATTTAATGGCAGTAGCAAGTTGAAAAATGCTGACAGCGAGAAACTAATCGCGCCAAACACAGTGCGGTCGGCCCGGAACATATTAGCGCACACGAGACTGTACAAATACTTCACGCATTGCGCCTAAACCACGATGCGCGCTCAACGCATGTTAGCGCCTACTGGCGAGACTGGAGAAATACCTCACGCATTGCGCGTACATTACGGTGCGCCCTTTTATCGTTGAAAATTCGTAATTCTTCGATGCCGCCTTTACCGCGGTGTATACCATTTGTCCATTTCCGACGCGGTCAAAAAACAGTACGGAACAAAACCGAATCGGAGCATGACTATTTGAATTTTGCATTTCAGAAAATGTTTCATAGTTTCTACTGTTACTAGACGATAAAAAATTACGTATTTAGGTCTTTAGGACAAAAAATGAAGTCCTACATTCATGAAAAATTACATTCGTCTCAACAAGGTGCCTACTTTTCAAAAATTCCACGATCAAAAATTACGGAACACGCTCGTTTTTATGTAAAGAAATCCTGCATTGGTGAAACATTACATTAATTTAAATGGGGTATTTCATTCCTTACAACTCAAGATCGCTTCCTAAGTCCTTGTTTCACTGATTGTCTCGTTGCAGTTCGTCGATCTCCTAACATGTAGGCTGAACATTTTTTTGTGACGATCTCTATCATCCGTATAACTTAATGATTTCCGAGGTTCGAGGCAAAATAAAAGTACGCCATAATTTCACAGGAACGAAGAGTTTGTAAAGTTTCAAGTGCGAGTCAAAAAACAAAAAAACAAACACGAGGCAACGTGTTTTGAAAAAGTTGAGGGTCGTGAATCTCGATGTTCAGCCCGCAGAGTAGTGCTTTTTTAATGGTATATTAGAGTAAAGAGAGCAGAAAGTTCTATGAATTAAGAAAAATCTCATTTTTAGGGTCCAAAGAGAGATTTTGAAACCATTTGTACTCTAAATGTTAATTTGTTTCAGCGTATTTTCGAGCCAGAGCGTAATTCCTCCGACAAAACTTCAAAAAATGAATCATCCCTCTGGCCGATTCCCATCACCTACACGACGGGAGAACTCGCTGATTTCTCAAACACCAAACCACAAAAATGGCTGACGGGCAGAGGAAGTCTTGCAATCCCAGATCTTAAAGCTGAAGATGGTCAATGGATAGTTTTCAATCTTCAAGTCGCAGGTGAATATTTCGGGTTTTCAAAGTGTTCCAGAAAGAATAAGTTCAGGTAAAACAGGTTTAATAAACAGGAATCTTGAAAAATCATAAACTTTAAACGATACAAAAGTTTCAAGGATAGGCCTCAAGTGGAAAAATCTTTCATTCATTTCGCTTCTTCTGAAACCTTGAAAGGCCCAGTGTTTTCGCCCCTTCCTCCGTTCTTGGAGAAAACATGAATGAAAGTTTTCGAGCAAGTATGAAACGATTTTGAGTCGAATTTTGAAAATAACGGAGATCATTGAGACGGATTTAACTGCGAGAACAACCGAATTGCATATAACTTTGACTAATTTTCTCACATGTTCTATTTACTTGTTTTATTCTAAAGAACCAAACTACTTAACGTTTTTAAAGTTTCCGTGAATCAATAGCGTGGCGTGCTTTACGTTATTTCGATTGATCCCCATTTAAACTAATTGAGAAGGATCTATATTCGCAACAAACACCTTGATAATCCATTCTTTACCACAGCTCTAACTGGGGAACTACCGATAATCTATCATTCACGCCTCGCAACTGAAAATGACGTCAATTATTTACCCTCTCTATTCTTTCAAGCCATGTACAGGGTGAACTATTACGAAGAAAACTGGGAGTTGCTGAGGAAAGCGCTGGAGACAGAGGAGAGTAAGAAGAAAATCCACCCGTTGAACCGGAAACAAATATTCGAGGACGCACTTGCTTTTGGTTGGTCACGAGATTTGGACTACAAATTTGTGTTTTCCCTTTGCGCGTGTCTCCGAGACGAGGCAGACTACTTACCGTTGAGCGGAGCGTACTCAAGCCTACGGAGAATAGATCTCATCCTTCGCCGAACCCCTAATTACGGGTATTTCAAGGTAGGATCATTGAAAAGTATTTCGGAGAGTTTGGGCTCTATCGATATGAATCGATCGAAAAATGGAAACGAGAATCGATCGACATGATTCAATCGGCACCGATTCGATCGACAAAATTCGATCGGTTCACGGGTTTGTCGATCTACTCAAAAGTTTGTCGATCGATTCAAGGTTGTCGATCGAATCTGTGTCGATCGATTCATTCGAGCGAATCGACACGGGTTTTTTTTTTTCTTAAATTAACTGTCGATCGATTCATGTCGATTGAATCCATACCCTCCATCATTTGGTGGTCAAATATAACTTTTTAATCGACCATTTTAAAATAAGATTCTAGTCAAACGGGTCTGTTTCACGCAAGAGAAATAGCCGCGAAAATATATGTTTAAAAGATTAAATGGCAAAAAAAATCACGATGGTCAAGTTGAAAAAGTCTTAGATCCACTCCATAGGGCGCAATAAGCAATCTGTAAATGGTAAACACTGTTGTCGGCTCTAGGAAGAAATTCATGAAAATTTACGAAATATCATTTTTTACTGAGTTATCGAAATTTTGTCAAAAAGTTTACCAGAGTACTTCGACCCCCTCCTTCCCCCCCCCCCCCCATGTTGCCACGAAATTGTTCATAAGTAATTTTAAAAACATTTTTGCAAGAATATGCAGGCACTCTTCCCAGTTTTTTTTAAAAATACTCCTTGTCCACAGAGTATTTTTCTACATCCTTTCTTATCCAGCAAAATGAAAAATTCTGTTCCCTGAAAATAAGGAAGCTTTTTTATTTCCTCAGAGTTACATGCGAAAGCTGACAAATCCAATCATTTCGAGGTCAGGATCTCTTGTAGATGCACCTATGGAGGCTCAAGCAATCAAAAAGCAGAACTTGATGGCGGATATTGCATCCCGCTACAGTATTGGAAACTATGTAAAGCAGTCTTTGGATCTTTTCTCAAAATGGTACGTCAATTTGTACAGTATTTCTCTCCATCAGGCATCTGTCTATCATTCCTCTGCCATCTTACGAGTTTTAATCACTCGAAAAATTTCTTGCCGTAAGTTTCAGACAAATATTTATGCTGCAAGTTTAATTGTAATGAGTCTCGAATATATATATGAGTTTACGTCAAAATATCGCCATTACCGATATTTTCTTATCAAGACCATTATTGCATTGAAATTTTATGGAATGAGAAAATTTCAAACCCTTTTCAGCTCGTTTCTTGAACTTTAACTTGAAACGTAACTTTTAAGGTCAAACGTGCCCCCAAAATTTCAAGATGCTCTTACTTCATGCAATGGTGCCAATAACTCAGATTTGAAATTTTTTAAGAGAATATCTCCTCTCACAGATTCGGTTTTGTGATAAAATACAAGCAATAGACAGCAAATGGTGCAAACTTGAGATCAATTTGATTGCATTTAGCAAAAAAGAACCAGCGCGATTACAGTATTGTTACCTCTTCATAATAATCTAGAAAATCTCTCAGAATAGTAAAAAGTTCTGGCTCCCCACCAGGTAATTGTCAATTTTAAAGGGAAATAATTGTGTAAATTTTAATACTGTGCACATATTTTGTATTTTTAAAAGGAGAGGAAAAGTTGCACGATTTTGAAAGCACTGTAATCGTGCTGGTTCCTTTTTGCTAAATGAAATTCAATTTGCACTGGTTGCTATCTCTGTCAGTCGCATGCTTATTCTCTTGTTGTAAGTTTTTCAAAGAGGTGTGAGAAAAAACGGCCAAAAATGCCTCAAGGCATTTTCGAATTTTGATCACTTGGGGTGATACAGAAACTTCCGAGACGCCCAAAACCGGTCGCCGTTTTGCTTAGAAGCGCCGGGTTGCGACGTTGCCATTTTTTAAAGTGGAAACCTTTAAAAATTCATATCTCCGCCGCATCTCAACCGATTTCAATGAA